ATACTCAAACTAAATTTTGATGAATGAATTTTGTCCATTTCTTTGTTGATATACTCAAACCGTATTGTTTTTTTTTATATTTCGTTTTCAGCCTTGTACACACACACTTCCTCATTACACATACACCATCCTACTTTCAAATTTAAAACCCGATAGCCCACGGTGACATCATTCCCGCAATTTTCAGATAAACTTCTCGTAGTGGGTTTTTCAAATTACACACATTCTCTATTTACTAAATAAAGCGACTCATTAAATCACAAATAATCTCTTTGCAAGGCTGTATCGGAATTGGGGAGACGTGATGGGCATCTTCGAACGGGTTATTAATAGATTTGAATGGGCATATCTCAGATTGAATGGTGTATAAGAATTTCTTCTGAGTTGTGTCGGGAATACTGATGAGACTGTTGGAAACAATATATTAATGGGACGATTATGTGGTTCCGGAAGCAATTTGTGTAATTTAGCGATAAGAAACAGTATTAGGAGTAGATGACTCAACAATTATATTTAATGGTGTAAAAGAAAAGTGAACAGCAATGTTATAAAAAGTTATTAAGAAAAAGAAAACGATCACAAATAGAACAATAAATATATAGCAAGTGCTCTAGCATAAAGCATCAGTTAAAACTTATAAATGAAACGAACCAGTTGAATATACAGCCAAGATTAGTTTTATCTTGTTCCAAAAGTGAATACAATTGACAGTTTACATTGTATCAATTTTAACTTCCTGTAAATGACATATTATGAATATTTGTGTATGTAATAATATTTAAATTTTGTTTAGTTATCAATAAAACAAAATTTATGATACACCAATACCCATTTTCAATAAACAAAATTAAATTTCAAGTACAAAAAATTATTTTTGTATTAAATTACATAAGTATAGCTTTAAAGTTTTATTTTAATACAGTTTGCTTTGGTGGTACAAATTCTACTTTATCGATTTTGTCAGCGACCAATACACCTGTACGTTTTTCGTTTGAATTCCTTGCGTTATAACAAAATTGTAGCGTCCAAGCTATCATTCTTAAAAGTTTTATGTACTGAGAAAGTAATGCAGATGCCAATCGTCAGATGTCATATTCAATAGTAACGAACTGGCTTTTTTCTTTTCCTCGGTACAGACTTCTTCTTCATTAAGCACTACTTTTTGTTGAGGCCAATCATTTTCTTTTTTGTACAACCATTCTGGGCCCTCCCACCATCGAAAGTCGAACAATTGCCAAACACCACAGCCTCTTGATGGAAGATCTTCAGGATTGAGAGAACTAGGTGCATATTTCTAATGCTCAGGATTGGCTAAATTTCTAATCTTCTGAACTTTATTAAAAACAAAAACAGACCAGTCATCCTTACGTTGAATCCAAGAAAGAACAGTAGTGAAATCACTCCAAAAATAAGACTCAACATATTGAGAAAATTGTCTTTTTACTGACTGATAAAGTCTAGCACCAATAGTGGCTGCCAATAGTTCCAATCTGGGAATAGAAATGTTCTTCAAAGGGGCCACACGACTCTTAGCTGCTACAAGAAAAATTAAGACATCATCTCATGAACAGGGTCGTCCTTCTTTGAATCAGTGTTTGGAGGTAGGGCCTAATCTTATTGAACTTATTCCTTCTATTCTATTAGGACTCAGACAACAAAAAGTTGGAGTTCTGTCGGATATTCGAAAGAACAAAGATTTTTTGAGGTTCCTATGGGTGAACGATGAAGAAAAGGAATTTGTATTTCGACACAAGAGGGTTGTTTTTCTAGTCAATTGTAGTCCACTTCTTCTGGGTGCTACTGTAGAGTTTCATTTAACAAAGACACTGGAGAAATGTTCTAATGATAATCCGTACTCTAAAAATACAATTGAAGAGCGTATGACTGGGTTTTATGTGGATAATTGTGTGACCACTGTTACTGATGAAAATGAGTTAAGAGTCTTCGTATCAGAAGCAACCGCCCTTATGGAAGAAGCTAAGATGGACTTAAGAGGGTGGGTGGCCTCTGGTAATACAAAAACAGTTGTCCCTGTTCTTGGTCTTCTCTGGGACTCCTCCAAACGTTCGAATACTCCATTTTATTTAGGAGTGTAGGGATTGGTTTATTGATGTATAATATCATTTACAATTAAATATTGTTCAAATTCTTTTGAACAAAATTCTCCACCATTGTCACTTCGCAGAGTTTTTATATGAACACCCCTCCAATTTTCAGCCATACTTTTAAAATTCTTAAAACAATTAAAAACTTCACCTTTGTTTTAATAAAATAAAGGGTAATAGGATATGTAATGCGGATAGAACAGAATGACCCAGCAAAAAAAAGCTCCTTGATAGACCCATTGGTCAGAGAAGAAGAGGAAGGCCCAGAAGAAGGTTCATTGATAACATCGATAGAAATACGTTCTTGGTAGAGGAAGGCGATAGATAGGGACGACTGAAGAGAAATTCTTGAGGCTAGGATCCACGTAGGGTTGTAAAGCCAGAATGATGATGATGTAATTGAAATTTTAAAAGCTAAATATTTGTGATATTTTCCTTATTCTCACGCGAAATAAAGTTTTTTATGCATTTTGATAAAAGTTATTAACAAATTAACAAAAATAATTTTACAAACCCTTATTTTAAAGGATTTTCTAGCTTTTTCAGTAAAAGTGTGTCACTTTTCCATGTAATTTACCATTTTTCACCTTTAGCATTTAAAATCAAATACCAATCTTACATAATTTATATGTATTAAATGGCGTTTAATCATATGAAACGAAATATTTAACATTCACCAAAAATAGTGTTAAAACGGGGTTCAGGAGAGAATCAGAGAATGCAACAGAGCCAAGTAGGAAAGTTTGAGCGAAAGGAGATGCCAAAAACTGTAATGTTCTTGGATATATTGAAGAGGTCCAAAATTTGAACTTTTGAACAAGAAAACATGAAAAAACTGTTATAGAAATGCCAAGGATGCGTGTATAACATAAAAAAAGGAAAAAATATTGAGAAAAATGTTTAGAAACAAAATCTATTCAATAAACATCAAATAAAAAACATCACAAAAACAAATAGTAAACCCAAACATTGCCAATACAATAAACCAATGAAAAAGTAGCCTCAAACTAAAAAGAAACATACAATTATTAATATCGTGACAATGAAATTGTTTTCCTATGCGCATAAATAAAGATAAATTCTCACGATACATCTTTAACATGATTTTTATCATACTATTGGTCATTATTATAATCCTGCATTGAAAAAACCAGCAAATTGCCTTGACATTTCCGAACATTCAACACGAAGCATCTCTTATGATGTGAAAGTGAACAAAATGTGAATACGCCCTCGGCGAAAAAATTATGTAACCCTTTCAAAATTTCGCTAATTTATTGCTCATATGGTTTAGATAAATTAAGCTGAATGTACAGGATGGTCCAAAAGTAAACAATAACTTATATAAACTTATATAAGTGATGGATTCGACCGAAACTTAATAAAAATTCATTTTATATATCAATAACAGACTGAAAACTTTGTTTTCAAAACTTCCACAAAATTTATTATATCTTATCACAACAGACGAGGGGAGAACTGTTTGTCTCAAGTTGGCCATTCAGAATTCTGTCTGTATTCATAAATTCTAATAAAAATAGCTTAAGGCCTTAATTTTGGATCTGAAGAATTTGAAATTATTTATTAAAAGAATGATTATGATCTAAAAAATGAACTGCGTATATAGAATCTGTTTTCCTTTTATGTTCTGCTATACGTTTGTTAAAAGTTCTACCAGTTTGACCGATGTATTTGCAAACATAGGACGGATGGATGAAGTTTATTTATAAGAATTTTAAGATCTTCTATACTCCAAGATGTGTAAGGGTACCATACTCATTCTTCAAATGAGTATGGTACCCATTTAGGTTCCATTGAATAATAGAATTAAAAATAGTTTAATTAATAAGTCTCCGAAGAGGAATCGCTAGGGTCATCAGTAGAAGTATTACTTAAAATTTGTTCTGTAATTTTGTTTTTAATTCTAGAACAACGGGATTTAAGATATCTTGGACTTAACATAGGAAGTACTTTCTTTAGAAAGTCTATCAAACCTCCGATATCCTCCGAGGAAGTTCTGGCGACACTGAGAGGATCTGACGAACCATGCACATTTTCAAAAAAGTCAATAAGTTCTTCCTGTGTTAAGTAAAAGTATCCATTGTTGGAGTTTTGTTTGAGGACTTGACTGGTGTATTTGGTAAGACCTTCTACTAGGTTCCTGTTGTTTTCTTGTTGAGTTTTTGGTTTTTTGCTTCGTGGCTTCGGTTCAGCGAAGGCATTTTCGTTATCTCTTATTGGGGGGGGGGGGATATTTTGATTAAGATGTAATGATTTTTCCAGGCGTTTCATCCTCAGTAAGGGAGGATTGTGTAGAGGAATTTATCGACAAAGGAGCTGATTGTTGTAATGTAGTTTTAGTCTCAGTAGGAGAAGATTGTGTAAGTGCAGATTGGTGTAGGTACTTCTTGTAGAGAGTTTAGATGAACATTATTTTGGGTGTTTTTTGAGGAGTCTGATTATTTTTATTGGGACACTGACATAGAAAATGTCCTTGTTGCTTGCATAGTTGTTATCCTCATGGTTAATTAACATAGAATCCGGTAATTTGTCTCCGGTGTTTTGTTTTTTATTAGAACAAAAGTTTCTGTAGGAGGAATACTAGCAAAAAGATTTTTTACGTCAACTTATATGTCACAAATATAAATATTCTCCAGATCTGTGGGAAAATGAAGCGTTAGTCTTTAGAAACTAAGAGAAAAATAGATAAAGGAGACTAAATTTCCACAGATTTAGGAAAAATGTCACTTAAAGTTGGGCAATTGGTTCAATTTTGCCAAAAGTTGCCAGAAACCAAACAGAATGGCGACTAATCTTAGAGCAGAATCTAACTAATTCTCATAAATTTGTTCAATTTTAACAATATAAATTAATTCATCTTTTATCTTTTTGCAGTGTACAGTCAAAACTACAGACAATCTGTATACCAAAACAATCACCTCTCAAATCCCCAATATACCCATCAACTACCACGAGCTTCTGGTTCATGTCCAGAAAAGAATGGCAGGTATCCTACAAACATGTGTGACAGGTAAGAATCAAACACTTTGTTTTTCTATAAATATTTCCAGTGTGTCATTTAAGTGAGGCAACAAGGAACAAATTTTCTGGAAGGCACAATATTTGGACGAGGTTTTCATGTAAAGGCAACCGGAAGCTGTCATTTCTTTTATTGAGACAATTATAGCATTTTTCTATATCAACAGCTTCTTCGGTGATGCTTGTGTATCAATTTGTGGCCTGTGTGAAGAATATGGTGATCCAGAAGAAATTGAGTCAGAATTGCCGACTGAAATGGAATAACTTATACTTACAAGGAAAATTTCCATTGATTGGCTGTATAGAGTTTTAAAAAATGATGAAATGGAATGTTCATAGATTCAGTTTTGAATTATTTGATTGGTTTGACCCATATAAGGTAGTAGATAGTCTGCACAAATTTAGTAAATTTAATTAACATGCTTTATCTGAAGTCGGTACAGACGAAAGTGTTGCTTGTGTATTTTTGGAAATAATATAAGACTAGACTATAAGATCCGATTCACATTCATCTAACACGTACTAAACAAGAGAATTTTATTGTAGTTATATAGAATGCAACGAAGGAGTCCCAGAAGAAAAAGTTTGTCAAGACGGTCTTCTGTTCAATGCTGCTGCGGGAGTGTTCGCCTTTCCTTGTCAATACCCTATCGATGTGGACTGCTCAGGAAGAGAACAAACTCGTAAGTATTGCTATTATTTCGATTTTGACAATTGACAGAAGCTTTATGATTTGTTAATGGCTGATAAGTTCTGTAATATATTATGGCAGTTTGCGATGTAATTTATGACAGCCAGGAAACCAAAATATTGGAGAATTTCGCTGAAGTTTGAGGTCTGTATCTCTTGTGCAGAGCCAAAACTATAGCGGGGCAGAGGGGGCACACACGCAATTTAAGGGGCGGCGAAATTAAAAGATAATAAGTTTTAAAAATGTTTATTCGTTGCACGATTCATAAATTTTATTCTGATATTTGCCCTCCTTGATAAATCTTCTAGTTCTGACCCTGCCCTTGTACATATTGTAATGTATGTTTCCCATGTAAATCATCATTTTCTCTCGTATTAAAATCTACATTTGGTTTAAGATCCGGCACAACCAACTGACGAATGCCCACACCAATTCGGTTACTATCGCATGGGAGACCAATCAGACTGCGGTAAGTTCAAGAATTGTGTCGACGGGAGAGCCTACATCTTCGACTGTCCTGAAGGTTTGGCCTTTAACGGAGAGACTTACAAATGCGATTGGCCTGATCAAGTACCTTCCTGCAATGCCGAAGGTAAGATAATAATATTACAACTTTGTGCATCCTATTTACTAATTTTTTTTAACCTTTTTAGCATACTTGGGTTTCACCTGTCCACAAGACGCCAGTACCCTCGGCTTAGGTTTGGGTCAAGGAGAATACAGATCTTTTAGATCATCCCACGACTGTCAAAAATATTTCATCTGCGTCGACGGTAAACCCAGGCTGTACAACTGCGGTAAAGGACGCGCTTTTAATGATTTGATCAACGCCTGCGACGGTGTTGAGAATGTCACCGGGTGTGCAGATCCTACTACGAGTTACAATATACGGCTAGGGGGAGATGATAGAAGGGGGCAGACGTATAGCAATTATTATAAGGGATAATTTAGATTTATGGTAAATTTGGTACTTTTGTGATAATGAAATAATAGTATTGAGTATATTTCACGAATTTTTGATTATAGATTAAAGCTTTGACTTGTTGACTGTGCTGAGAAAGTTAACAGCAAATTCTCTCAATATTTGAAGCACCCACGAAGACATGCAAAAATACGGTTTCAACTGTTAATGTATTTTACCTAAGGGTAAGCGGCAAGTCATAACACATTATGACCAAAACCCAACCTACATAATACAGTCTACTATAAATATTTTTGGTTTTTCATTTCTTTTGGTCAACTGTAGTAATTTAGGCTTGAAAGAATCCTGAGGAAATGAAATATTTTCATTCGTTAACCATTCTTGTTGCTTTGCTTGCGTACAGCAGGCTGAGGATGAAACAGCAGTTTCATCCTTATCACATAAAACTCTTTCAATAATTATTGGATGAAGATTACCCTAAAATAATGGGATTTTGCTACTGGTTTTTAACGGAAAACACTCATGACAATTTTATTAATTATGTTTTGTTTACCGACGAAGCTACCTTGGCATTACGAACCATCATAACATGCACATCTGGGCCGAAGGAAACCTCCAGGCAAAAAGTTTTCCATCACCAAAGAAGTCAATGTTTGGGCAGGAATTGTGGATAATAACCCAATAGGGACAATATTTCTTCTAAACAATATAAATAGTGAAAATTATTTACAATTTCTACAAATTCAGGGAAAATATGCGGTCCAGTATCCTGGACGTTGGATTGGAAGAAACCTTATTTCTTGGCCATACGGAGGAGCAGATCTTAAGCCAATTAACTTTTGCTTCTGGGGTTTTATGAAAAGACGTATATTTCGTAAGAATTATGAATGAACAACAACTAAGGAATATAATCATGGAAGCTGCAAATCCCGAAGCTGCAGATTTTCCTTTTTAAAACGTTAAATGGTTAAGTAAGATTATAGAGACCTGGTAATACTATGAAAATTTATTTATAATTAAATACAATGGATTCGCCCAGAAAACGACCGGTATGAAGATACATTAACCAGACATATACAAAACTTGCAAGAGGATGTATATGTGATGCATAGAGGAAATAGAAGATGTAGATCAAGCAAATGATGCCATAACGAAGGCCCTAAAAGAAACGGAAATGGAGTGTTGCCCGACCATTCTGACCCATAAAGAAAAACTAAGCCATAATACCAAAAAGCTACACAACAATGAAGATAAACATCCGGTCAATCTAAAAAGACGTAAGAGAAAACAATACAAGAGAAATAACTAAAATAATTCAAAGAAAACAAAAGTTTGAAAGTTTTTTACAAAATAAAAAACAAAGATGGAAACATTACTACTGATAGAACCAAAATCCTTGAGGTTGTCGAACCCTTTTAACGCGAAATGTTTTAGTGTCACCGACGAAAGGCAAGATCAGCTCCTGCCCAAAATCACAAACCAGGGATCAGAATTATTGCCAGAAATAACTCCATACGAAATCAAAACAACATTTTTAGAAATGAGAAATAACAAATCCCCTGGCGATGACGGAGTAGTGTTCTAAGCGATCAAACTAGGTGGAAATAAAATTATCTAGGCTTTGGCCAAGCTTTTCACCGAATGCATCCAAGGAAAAACTCGTTCTCAATAGAATAATACAGTCATTACTTTATAACACAAGCAAGGAGATATAACAGATTTAAAAAAACTACCCTCCTATCACTTTCACACCTATATAAATTTTTCACGACGTTACAGCCCTTTGCGAAAAGGACTGTATCTTTTTTTATATGCACATTTGTACTAAGATAAGTTAGGTTCAATCTAGGGGAGGATACACGGGGAATTGGAAAATCCCCCCTCCAAAAGTTGGTCCAAAATTAAAGAAAAAAATTTAATTATTTTTGTGGTTTGTGTACTTTGTGTTAATTTTTTTTTGTATTTTGATTGGTGTTTCATTGGAAGTTCCTGTCCCAAGGTAAATGTCTAGATACTCCACTATTTTTGGTACGAAAACATGTGATTTAATTTATAGCTTACCTTTTTGTTACACCCTGTATAATCTCCCGAATTTCAAACTTACAACCCTCAGGAAGGTGTTTAGTCGTAGGGTGTGGTCTAGGTTTATATTGTGGGACCTCTATTTCACTATTTAAAATTTGTTTTTTACAAAACTTATTTGAGTTTTGTCTCACTAATACAGAATGCATACACGCACGTTTATGTATGGATTGAAGTCATCGCAAATGGTCTCTATTGGTTTTTTCAGCAGTAAAATAAGGGTGCAAATTAAATACTATTTGATTTATGTCTAAAAAGGTCTCACATTTTTGCTGTCAATACACAAACTCTTCAATCACAAGTACTATGACATACTTTTTAGGGTACCTACCATTAATTAGGCTTATATTTATCTCTCAGAAATTCGTGAAATACAATATATTTTACAGCAATTCATAAATTTGTGTATATATTACCAGAATAGAACAAATGTCCTTAAGAATACTGATAAGGTTATTGTTTAAGAGAAAATGGACAAAGAGAAAGACTCAAAAATTGTAAATTTGTCACACGAAGAATATTTGTTAAAATTATTATTACATTATCCCAGTAAAGCACCGAAATTTGTTTAAATATTGTACATAAATTAAATAAAACATTAAGTATATTGTTATTTTATTGTTTTAGTGACACTCTTGAAACAATTTTATAGTTCAGGCCAATTACCCAAAGAGTGGTTAACGTAGATTTTTATTTGTCTCCCCAAAAAGAAAAACGCAAGAGAATGCAACGATTACCGCACCATTAGCTTGATGTCTCATGTGCTAAAGTTACTACTAAAAGTCATCCATAACCGAATATATCACAAACTGAACATAGACGTTAATAATACACAAAGGCCTAAGAACGGGTGAAGCTCTTTTTTCACTTAATATACCGATACAAAGATGCCTGGACGTCAATGCAAGATAACAGAGTGGCCCAAAACTCTGGAAATGGCTAATTATCTCGTAAAATGCTAATCAGAATTGTACAAAATTTGAGGTACACCTACTTTGGGTTACGGAGATTCCATATTTGATATTTACAATGTTGCCAGATTTGCCGTTTTTCTTATATTATTAGTAACTTTGGTTTTTCAAATACATCACCCTGTATATTCAGTCATTATTGGAATCTCCTATTCAATACGAGTTCAACCATATGTAACACTTATGATTTTATGTAATCTGGAAGGTCATAAATACATAAAACCGAAGTCTGACAACGCCTAAATTGTTTGAATAAATTTTTTAATACTAACTGTTTTCAAATACATTAAAACGTAAGAATTGATAGTTTAGAACATTTTTTTAACATAGTAGTTACGTTATTAAGTGTTCAAAATGTGCTCAATTTGTGAGTTGACAGCACCCTAATCGATGGTAGAAGGCGTCTACCACATTTCTCCGTGATTGTCTAGAAATTATTCGAGATTCATTGATAATTCGTTGCCTTAGCTCTGCAAGACTTGCTGGTTATGTTTTGTAAAAATTTTTCAAGTATCCCTAATAAAAATAATCTTTAGGATTGAAATCGGGTGAACGTGGAGGCCATTCAATTCTACCTTGTCTACCAATTTATCGTCCAGGAAATATCTCATCTAAATATCGCCGAACATTTACACCAACTATCTGACGTTAAATTTCTTTCGACAAAAAATGACCCAATTGAATAAGTAACTACTATATCTGACCATACATTTAATTTTTGTGGTCTTTGAGTATGGTTTTCTAGTTTCTCCTATATCCGACAATATACAAAAAAGGTTACTGTTAAAGAGAATAAGTGGTTCAATTACTTATATTTGATCAACAGATTTTAAGAGAAGCGCCTTGAACAATATGTGCAAACATAATGGAGAAAAGTATGCATCTTCGAGGTCTATGACAAGATATAATGTCCTTCATAAAATAAACTTGTAGCTGGACAGAACCACTGTCAAAAGCAAATAGACAAAATCTTCTTACCTGTAGAAAATAGTGAATAAAACCAGGATTTTAAAAGCTCAACACCACCACAACAAAATAATTTAATTAAATCAGTCAATTCTTAATAATAAATTCTCCTGTGCTTTTTATAAAATAAATCGTGTAGAATGACATTCATCTCTTGTTATCTTTACAAGAGTGACTAACAAGAAAAGTAGTTTGAGAGAGAATTCAACAAATTTGACACCAAAAATTTTAGAATACAGGTATGAACATCACCAACAATCATGACATTAGGAAGTGTTTTAGTAAAAGAGAAAGACAAGTGTTGATTTTGTAACTTGCCTATTATTTTTTTAAACATAAGTTGATAAATCAGAGGATTTTGTTTTAATCTGCACAATGGCATGTCTGTGTATATTGAATGCAATTCAATGATATTCTACAAGTAGTTTTACAAATCATATGGGCATATACCAAGTTTCAAACATCTATGGCCAATGTATTCAGAGTTATCTGTAAGTTATATCTATTGACCCCAAATCTAGTAGAGCTTTTATATAGACCAATAAAACTTTTATTAGGTTTCAAGAATCTTTAAGAATCATTGCATAAACGAACAGACAATGACAAGATTTCAACCTGATACACTCTTTGTAAATAATCAATGTTAGTAACTTATATTTGAGGCTAATGGATCTAGTAATCTGTAGTCATATATCCAAGCTCACACACATAACTTATATTTATATTTGTCAGAAGGTATACACAATAGATTTTCATAGAAATTGTGGGTTTTAAAGTCTAGTGAAGTTGAAGAGTGAAAAAAATAGTATTCTCATTAAATTTTCATGTTTCATTTAAAATTGTGTTAAAATATAACAAAAAACTAACAAAAATAAACGAACAAAATAGCAAACTAGCCAAAAACAAACAAAAATTAAAGATATGCCATTCATTAGAAGTTGAAGATCATAATGAATGAAAATGCAAACACAGCTTCATGAAAGACGAATCTAATTCCTCCAAAATGAAAAATAATAAAATAATTAACATAAACACATTTGGAGACCACAAAATATAAATAGACACACCGGGAAAGAAAATAATGATGGCTAATCGATGCTATGTATTCGTAGAAAGTTTTACTAAGAATTGTAGTACATGATATCGTGTAGAATGACATTCATCTCTTGTTATCTTTACGAGAGTGACTAACAAGAAAAGTAGTTTGAGAAAGAATTCAACAAATTTGACACCAAAAATTTTAGAATACAGGTATGAACATCACCAACAATCATGACATTAGGAAGTGTTTTAGTAAAAGAGAAGTGTTGATTTTGTAACTTGCCTATTATTTTTTTAAACATAAGCTGATAAATCAGAGGATTTTGTTTTAATCTGCACAATGGCATCTCTGTGTATATTGAATACAAGAAAAGAAAAAACTGACATACTATAATTACCATGTGTGAAACACAAATAAATTGAAATAATGATGGAAATATCCTTTTGTTTATACAAAACTGATCAATATAGACAAAATTTCGAAAGGGATACCAAAAATATCAAAACTCATGTGGATTCAATTCATATAGTATCATATGATATCACAGCAAGTGAAGAAAATTGAAAATTTTCGAAAAAAAATAAATAAATGCAGAACCTATAACTTAAAAAATCACTAAAAAACCATATAATCCCAGTGTTGTATTTGAAAAACTGAACTAATAACGAACAACAATTGTAGAAGCTTCATAAAAATGCAAATTTTATGTAACCGAAAAATATTTTAAAGTACAATTAGAGATGTTTGCATAAGGTTTTTACTCACATATCTATAGAATGATTAACTTAAATACTGATGGAGGCCACAATACATAAATAGCTACAAAAACATAGAAAAAAGGGACAATGTTTGTGTAGAAAGGGGCTCATATTAGTGTTTTACAGTCTTAAAAAGGCTTATCAAGAATTAGAATGCATGAAAATAATTTACATAAAGCAAAAACTTGCATAAAATAATTGAGACATCAATAAATTGAAGTAATGGTGAAAAAAATCTCTTGTTTATACACAAACTGATATAAATATACACACAATTTCAGAAAAGACATGAACAATATCAAAATTAATGAGAAGTTAATCCTTATGGTGCCATAAAAATGATCAACAAAATTAACAATCAACTAAATCAACTTAAATTTTAGAAAAAAAGTAAATAAATGGATTCATATGACTATAAAAATCACTAAAAACAGTATAACCCTAGTCATGTATTTGAAAAGCTAAACTTAAAAAGGAACAACAATAATTGTGTAAGCTTTATGAAAAGAAAAGTTTATTGTAACTGAATTACTTAGCTATTTGTATTAATTGTTGATTGATACATTTAAAGTTACTCAAAATACTCTATAAAAAATATTTAAAAAAAAATAAGTTTTTTAATTGAAAAACTTTCAAAAAAGAATTGTTTCCATAAGGTTTTTTACTCACTTATTACCAAAAACAAACAATCACAGGAAGTAATCTTGTTCTAAAGATAACATAAATGAAACCCACCAAACTTCATGAATATTTCAGATAAATACATTCCATGCCAACCCAACTACCTTCCTAACACGATAACAATAAAGAACCATAATTCTCATGGGCCCCTCGGATCGGCTTTTGTATTCAAACCGACCGCCAAACGACCCATCGCCTCACCTGCCAGCGACAGGAGCACCCTCGGATTGGGGCCACGCGCATCTCGCCAAACTCCGCTGCCCGTCGGGCCTCAGTTGTGGTTGGAGCTCGGAGACTCGCAGAGGTGCCCCACGGTTGTCAATAAACAACTGACAGAAGCGTTTCTATGCGATTTAATCGAGGTTTGGAATTTGAAGTGACGATTTTTGGGGCGATCGCTCCTTTGGAATATGGAGCCTTGGCGCAGTTATGCAACTATTTGCAGGTTGTGCTTGCAGAAAGACGGCTTTATGCTAGGCATATTTAATCACATACAAGGCAAGGACAGGAGCATTTACAAGAAGATTATTGATTGCACGGCACTCCAGGTAAACATTCATGACATTAACAATCACTGAATCTATTTATTCGATACTTTTAACAATTCCCCGCTAGTTTAACCGCATTTATTGTGTAAACTTCCTTCTGAAAGTATTTTTAAACCAATATTTTAGGTTATTTATTCATTTTTACCTCCTTTTTTAATTCATTTTAAACGATAAAGAAGGCTATAGACCACGTGTGTTGTGTACAAATCGTGAGTTGTATAATTTCTATTTTATCGGCCATTTGACAGGAGACAAAGATGTCATTCTGCTACATTGCCGCGTTCTCTTAAATTTCTCAACAATTAACATTTTTTAACAAACTGTTACATAAATAACATGATATAAAATATAGTAATGAGAATGATTTCGATTGATTCTCAATTTTGTAAATTTTAATTTAATATTGTTTATAATTTTGAATAATTAAATGATTGTTTGTCTTATACCTTTATAGAATTATGTTTATCCAGATATGTATTAAAAGTTATGGCAACAATACCAAATATTTGCAGAATACAATCAACATATTCCTTGATTTAAAAAAGTATATTTTGCAGAAAAGTATTAAGTATTAAACAACATTATTACTAATAAATAATATCCACTTCAAAATAATTAATATATTGTAATGTTTTCAAGAAATATATCTTGATAAATTTGGTTGACTTAATTGTTGTAGAATTGGTTGCCTATACTACAGGTGTTTAAACAAAAAAGGGACAAATTCAATTCAAAACATACGAAAAATGCAAATAAATTTGAAATTTTCACAGTTTATGTTTATTTAATAGTCTACTTCACAAATATTTATATCAGGGTGCAATGGTAGCCTAGATATAACCGCAGTCATATTAAGGATAAATTCTATTCATATAAAAACAATGTTTTTTGTTTACAGATATCCAGTGGAGATGGTTTACCCAACGTAATTTGCCACAGATGCCTCTACAAGATAGAATTTTGTCTGGAATTCCGTCAACTTTGTTTCATGTCTGACGCTACTCTGCGCCAATTGACGGGTACAGCTAAAGAAAATGGATCTGATGCTGTTAACGGAAATACGCATTTGCCGATATATGAACAACTGGGAGGTAAGTAAATGATTATCTTTATTCTTTACATTCAAACATTTTCATCGATAAAGGATTAACCAATTGGCTGCACTATTTCACTCAATCTTAAGTTTTATGAACAATTTTTTACAAAAGAAGTACTAATTTGCAAAATATTATCAGATAAATGAATGATTTTCCGAAAAAAAAAAAAAAAACCTGCAATTGTTTTTGTAAGAAGGTAGAGGAACCTATCAAACATACATGCCGCATAAAACAGATGATTCGTCAGATAAAATGCAAAAAACTAATAAATTATGATTTATATGAAAACAATTATTGCAACTTTTATACATAAAAAATTATCATTAGTTGTAAAAGCATCCCAATATCGGCTAATACTCATGATAGCTAATTCTTGAATGATGTTATGACAAATATTAAGTTTACATTCATGGATTAGTGTAAACAATGTATTAAAAAAGCAAATTTTATACCAAAAGCTATGATAGATTATATATTTCTACTTACTTGTAATAATATCCTTTTAAAAATACCACAAGAACTACCATTGTCCAATAATCTGCAATTCAAATGAATCACAATTCAAAGCATACTTCGCAAAACAAACACGAACTTATGTTACATAAAAAACGAGAAATAGTGAATTTAAGAAAACAATTTTTTATAGTATGTAACTACGAATTTCAAATAACTGTCAAAGTGTGGATACGTATTTTTAAATACTCTCTACATTTTAAAGTTTATTTCATTGAATTTAAAGCAATACTGAGTAATTTAAAATTAATTTTATTCGGCTAGTTTTTTAAATTGTAGTGTTTAATAAAAACATACTCGCATAGTGCTCAAAAATGTGTTAGCGTCCCCTATGGGGACTGGAATTGACTCAAGGACGCTTTTAAGTGCCTCTAACAATATTGTTAGGTCATCTGAAGTAATGGAGCCTGAAGAAAAACGTGGTACCGTTAAAAAATAGAGGATTTAACGTAAATTCAGATAAGTATAATCTTGAAAATATTTTTGTGTATATTGAAAGGATAGATAACACCGATCTTGGTCGCTTACATCCAATTACAATAGGTCATATTTTGTACAAAAAATTAGGAATTTCCAATATAATTCAAGTAAGGGCAATTGGTAGAAACAGAATTAAGGTAGTAGTAGCTTCTATACATGATGCAAATAATCTTATAAATAATAGTAAACTAAAGGAAGAAAATTTAAAAGCCTTTATTCCCGGTCACTTATTAGAAAGCAAGGGTTTAATTCGGGATATTGATACTCAATTTGATACTGTATATTTACAGGAAAATATTGAATCTCCTTCACGTATATTAGATATTAAACGTATGAATAGAAAAGTTGAAAAAAATGGTACAATTGAGTATGTTGCAAAACGAACTGTTATTGTAGCTTTTGAAGGTAATATACTGCCTCAGTATGTTATTATAAATAGAGTTTTTTGTCCAGTCGAACAATTTGTAGGTAGGGTTACTCAGTGTTACAGGTGTTTGAGATACGGTCATATTTCAAAACAGTGTAGAAGTTCTCAAAATCTATGTATTCGATGTGGAAAGAATAAAGACGAAAATCATTCTTGCGAAAATTCAGAGATTAGTTGCATTCATTGTAAGAGTACTGCACATGTTTCGGTTTCAAAAAGTTGTCCTTCTTATCAAAAACAACAAAAAATTAAAAATATTATGATTAAAAATAAATTTCCTTTATCGAAGCCAAGGAAATTAATGAAAACTCGTATTCAGAGGCCCTAGGCCAAAATAAGTTTTCAATTTTAGCGAACTACGATAAAAATTTTCCTGATATTACACAAAATAAAATGTCCCTAACATCTGCGCAATCTACTTCTAATGCAACTACTAGTACCAATTTTAATCCAACTTTTCGCCAAAACTCGAACAATTACTCAGTTCCTAACAAAAAGAGGAAAGCCAATTCTTCTCCTACTGTATCTTCTAACTCTGTTCAGCCACCTCCCATGTTTAACTTCAGATTTGGACCATCTCAACCTCTACCTGCTAATCCACCCCGTTCCACTTCTCATAGTGGAAAAAGGGAAAACCAAGATATTGCTCGAGCTATGACTAACTTTGTAATTAGTTTTTTAAAAAATATACGTACATTGGACGATTTGAAATCATTAGATAATGAAATAATAAATCATGAAATTACTTCTGTATTGGAGGGTACAAAAAAAGTTACATAATTTTCACTCTCTTAAATAGATTAAAAATCATGCAATGGAATTGTAGATCTGCTGTCGCCAACAAAAACAGTTTAACACATTTTTTAAATGAAAATGATATTGATGTTGCCTTGTTGAGTGAGACATGGTTTAAACCCGATAAACAATATAACTTTAAGGGTTATAAGATTATTCGTCGCGACCGATATGATGGTTACGCGGGAGTGGCTATACTTATAAAATCAATTCTTCTTTTTCAAGAAATTTGTATTACACAAAATTTTAATGACGATATACTTGTTTGTGGAATCACGTTAAAATTTAATAACTCTGATATTAATTTTGCTTCAATTTATAGACCTCCAGATATTCGATCGACTTCCAAAGATTGGTGTCAAATTTTTGAACAATTTAATTTTCCTTGCATTATAGGTGGTGATATGAATGCGCATAATAGTTTGTGGGGTTCACATAAGAATGATGGCATTGGGCACCAACTTATTAATGCCATTGATACTCTTGATTTAGTTGTTCTTAATAATGGCAACGCAACTTGTCTGACCCGCCCGGATGTGAAACAATCTAGTGTTGATATTACGTTGTGTTCTCCTGATTTAGCAAAAGAAATTACTTGGGACGTCTTGGATGACACACTGGGATCGAATCATTATGTAGTTCTCATGAATTTTTCTTCTGTTATTTCTCGTAATGAATACATTCTTCCAAAGTCCAAATGGAATGTTAATAAAGCTAATTGGACCCAATACTCTGATCTAATTGAACAAAACTTTCTTAACTATTCGGACAGCTTGTCTACCTCAGAGAAATATGACTTCCTAGTGGAAAGTATTAATAATGCATCTTCTCAATCCATTCCGACATATAAACCCTTTAAAATTATTAAACGACCACCTCCTCCGTGGTGGGATTTCGAATGTGAACAAGTTGTTTCTGACAGGAAAGATGCTTTAAAAACATATAAAAATAACTCTAGTTTCACTAATTACGTACGATGTCAGGAAGTAATGGCTAAAACAAAAAAAGTTCTAAAACGAAAAGCCAAAGAAACTTGGAAAAACTGGTGTTCATCATTAAATAAAAATATGCCTATTAAAAATGTGTGGAATGAAGCAAGGAAAATGCAAAGGAAGTATACTCCAAGTATTAATCATTTTAATGATGAACTGATTGAAGAATTTTTTGACAAAATAGCACCTCCATCAGTTAACACTGCTATAGAAATTCAAAATAATACTATAACTTCAAGTCACTTTCTTCTAAATCCATTTACACGGGAAGAACTTGACTTTGCGCTAACGAATAGGTCTAACACCGCTCCGGGTTACGATGATATTAAATATCCTATGCTTAAAAAAACTTCCCAATATAGCGGAAAAACGTATTACTTGATATTTTTAATGATATTCTTTTAAAGATGCAGAAATTGATGTATTAAGAACTGTTATTGTCATACCAATCCTCAAACCAAATAAAGATCCCAACTTGGTACAATCATATAGGCCAATCTCTTTGATGTCGTGTGTTTTGAAGACTTTGGAAAGAATTATCAAAGTTAGACTAGAATGGTGGATAACTTATAATAAATTAGCTTGCCAAAATCAGTTCTCTTTTAAAAAAGGAGTTGGTTCCCTAGATGCTCTTAGTACTCTCGTTGTAGACATAAACAATAATTTTGGCAGAAACAATTACCTTTCTGCGCTTTTTATAGACGTAGAAAGTGCGTATGATAATATATGCCTCCCCATTTTAAGAGATAAAATGTTGAAATTATTTCATATTCCAAATCAGGTAATCAACATGATTATTAAATTCTACACTAATAGAAAAATATTTTTAAGAAATTTTGATAACACAATTGTAGGTCCACGAAATAACAACAACGGACTTCCACAAGGCTCAGTTTTAAGCCCTATTCTATTTAATTTGTATACTGCTGACTTACATCAATTAAGTTTTAATCACATTCCGTTTAAAATAGTACAGTATGCAGATGACCTCTGCATATATACTGAAAATAAGAATTTTAATACCACTATGGCTTCTCTCAAAGACATCTTTGGTGTTGTTCATGAATGGTTAATATTAAATGGATTTCAGATTTCCTACTCCAAGTCTGAAGTTTGTGTTTTCAGTAGACACAACATACCTAAATTAAGTTACATTGTCCTAGGTTCATATAATTTTTCCATTAAAGACTCCGTTAAATATCTTGGAATGGTACTTGATAGGAAATTGACATGGAAAATGCATATTAATTACATGTTAGACCGATGTATAAAGGGTTTAAATTTTTTAAAAATGGTTACTAAGACTTGGTGGGGAGCTGGCGTTGAAACCGCCTTACTATTCTATCGTGCCTATATCAGGTCCATATTGGATTATGGATGTATCTTGTACGGCTCTGCTAGTTCACAGATTTTAAACAAAATAGATATCTTGCAGAACTCAGTCCTACGTGTATGTCTTGGTGCCATGAAAACAACCCCAGTCGAACCTCTTCATGTAGAAGCTATTGAGTCTCATTTAAATCACAGGAGGCAGTTCCTGGCAGACAAATTTCTTTTTAAAATATCCAGAACCAACAGTAATCTATATTCAAATATAGTAGTATTAAATGAACAAGATTTGACAAATAAATATTGGTCGAAGAAAAATTCTCCACTACTGTGTATCGCACTTCAATCTAATCAAGATATCATTAGTGATTTATATGATCCCAGCTCAATTTTGTTAGATCTTTATGATTACAATGCATTGTTTCTAAATATAAAGATTGTAAAACCTGTATATAGCGAAAATCTTCACATTAACATTAACTTATTATACTCAATACTTGCAAGCTTCGAGGAATCTGTGGCAATATATACCGATGCTTCAAAGTCCAAGGATGGTGTGGGATGTGCTTTTTATATTCCCTCCAAAAATATTAATTATTCCTACAAACTGGATAACATATTTTCTATATTTAGTGCTGAAGCTATTGCAATCTACGAAGCGTTGACATTTTTATCACAATCTACAATTGATTCTGCAGTAATTATATCGGACTCCCTGTCTGTTTTAAATTCCTTGGTTTTGTCAAAATACCCAAGTTACAGCTCCAATTATATCATATATGCAATTAAAAAACGGATTTTAGAACTGCAAAAAGTTAACAAACACATTAATTTTGTATGGATTAAAGCACATATCGGTCTCGAACATAACGAGTATGTGGATATGCTGGCAAAGAAAAGTGTAAAAAATGGTGTGACCAATCAACTACCTGTAAGTTTTTGTGATGCAGTAGCTTATATTAGAATAAATTATCTTAATATTTGGAACAAATGTTGGTCACAATATACTTATACCAACCCTTCTAGATACTGCCGTATACAAAATCAAATACCGAATAAAACGTGGTTCCAACAATATAATTATTCCAGAAAATATATCACAACGATAACACGTCTTAGATTTGGTCACGCCTGTTATCCCACACATCTCCATAAAATTCATGTTCTTGAAAATGATCTTTGTCAAAATTGTGGCAAAAAAGGTGATTTAGATCATATTTTTTTTCGAATGCCAAAAATATAAGGATGAAACAGATCAATTTATTCAACAATTACATGATCTCAATGTACAGGCTCCGTTTAATATCCTTAGTCTCTTAGCTAATGGAAATGAGAGAATTTATAATGCATTAGTAAAATTTCTGTCAGGTACCAAAATAGTCTTTTAGTGATAACTATAAAAAAATATATGTATGTGCAAACTTGTGGTGAGCAACTTGGACAGTCCATAGCAAAGCAGCTGTCGAATTGAGTAGATAGCTGCTCAAGAGTTTGCTATGGAACTCTGAGAACCTCATCATCTTGTTTGTATGTAAATATGTAAATATAGATAAAAGTGAGATAATACAAAAAAAAAAAAAAAAAAAAAAAAAAAAAAAAAAAAAAAAAAATTAGTATTTTGAATTATATTATGTGTACCATTTTTTGAACACACTGATGATGTTAAAAAGATGCTATATATTTAACTTTTATCCTATTTTATTTTTAGCTCTTAAAGCATATTATTCAGCTCTTCGTTATTGATATTTTATGGACCTTACGGTAATAAAATTTTTATGTTTAAGGTAGTAGTCATGTTGTAACTGGCTGATTGACACCTAGTCTATGCCAATAAAAAAAAAAAAAAAAAAAAAAAAAAAAAAAACTACGAATTTGAACATTTGAACCATAGCGTAGAATTCATTTGGAACATAATCTTCACTGCACTGATTGATTTCTTGTATGTGCATCTTCTTCTATTAGGCGCGTTCGATAAGGGATGCAAAGTATTTGTCAGCGCTGTTGTATACTCTGTGGTTCTATCATGGATAGATATGTATACAGAGCAGGTCTGGATTTTTACTCCAGGACCGCCTTTCAATTTTTTTCTGGCTAAATTAAAATACTTAATGCTGTTTTTTTTATTTGGAAGGTATATTTTCGCATTTTCCCTCTTCTTGTTGATATAAAAGTACTTTAGAACTAAATGGAGCGTATATTAGGCGAATTTTGTTCAGATGTAAGCGTTTTAGTAACATTTTTCAATAAATTCGAATAAGAAAAGCAAACTTTTTTAGATAAATGATTATGGAATATATTTTGAGCTACTTTTATGATATATTAACCTATTTGGTGTACTAATTGTATCATTTACACTTGTACAACATCTTTTATTACAAGTTTTATGAATGAATATACCAAAAGAGATCATAATATACAAAAATTATGATCACGGTCAACGACTTTCCCAAAAACAAAACTTGCAACTGTTTTAGTAACTAGGCGAGGGTAAATAAAACATTATATGTCACATAGAAACTGATAATTGTTCAAATAAAATGCAAAAAACAATCATATTATGGTCTATATGAAAACAGGTGTACCTGTTATGTGAAAAAAATGAGATTTGTTATAAAATAGTCACAATATTAGGACTTTTAGGAGTCACAATATTAAGAGTTTATACGCTATGGTATCAAATTTTTTCAGTTGAAGACGAAAAATCATCTGTAATTGTTTTAGGTGACGAAAACGTAGTTATGGTAGTGGATCCACAAGCCTACGACTACGAATCCGACTTCGAGTCGGATAAGGACGTCGTCCCGAGCGATGTAGAAAACGGAGAATCGAACGACGTCGAACCTGAACCGGAGCCCGAAGGAAGAGGTGTGATAATGTGCAAATACTGCGATCACGCCTTTACGGATAGCTCTGAGTGCGTAAATCACGAAGCCAGCGTTCACAATACCGATACTCCGTACAGCTGTGGCAGCTGTTTAATGAGTTTTGCTGATAGAGCAGTGTATTCGGCGCACCTGAAGAGCGTACACAAGAACGACAAACCTTATAATTGCCCTCAGTGTAACAGAACGTTTGCTAGGTAAGACTTGAGATATTTATTTTGTAATTGTTTATTTGAAGCACCGTTTTAGATCAGAAATGGTGTTAGAATTGGTATTATTTTAATTCGATATGTAGTTACAATGTAAATCACGAAAGGATTGGTTTAAGGGTTAAAAATGCTTCGGCAGCTTGAGATATACTGACGATGCGTAATAATGCGGTAATAATCTGAATTTAACAAAAACTCGAGCTTGTAATTAGCGAATTGTCAATAAATCAAAATTGAATATTTACGTCCTTGTTGTAATAGAAAGCCATAAGATAAAAACTGGATAACTAAAAAAAGAGAGATAAACTGGCAGATATTTTGGCATCCAAAAGAAATTTTGATAATTTTTTTCTTGGTTTTCTTTAAATTATCAGTGATCTCAATATATATATATATATATATATAATATATATATATATATATATATATATATATATATATATAAATTGTTATGATGTTTTGTTTTGTATATGAGCAATGAGTGTTTAAAATAAAATATATGAGTATAGGGTTTTTATCGCGGTTCTCAAAGAATTAGTTTGTAAGTACTTTTTTAAATTATATTTATTATAACTATTATGAAACAGACATATATATCTAATATAAACAATATAAATTTAAAACAACCTATCTAAATTTGAAATTCTTACAATTATTAAATTATATTAACAAAATTTGGTACCTTTCTATCACTGAACCCCTAAAGTTTTCCAAAATCAAAGTTATAATCACCACTAAATATCTTCTTAATCAGCCTCGGTTATCCTTGTAATCTCCATATAATATATTATACTCCTGTATTGAAAAGTCTATATTGTTGAATTAATTTACTCTCCAATTGTATCTTACTTAATGAATTCTTCCAAGATAATCCTTTCTTATTTTATTTAATTATAACAGTATTGAACTAACTTTCTTGATAAATCTAATTTAATCACTCAATTGTACCTGACTGACTTCTTCTCACTTAATCTTTTTTTCTAACTTAATTTAACTTAATCACTTCATAAATTCTTCTCACTTAATCAATTGTAACTTAATTTCTGACTTCTTCTAAATAACTCACTTAATAATTGACTGTAACTGAATAATTGACTGTAACTTAATGACTTCCTGTAACTTAATGCCTTCTTCTAACTTTACTAACTTCATGAATTAACTGTAACTTACATAATAATACCCTGTAACTGACTTAATAATCCCCTGTAACTGATTTAATAATCTTCTTGTAACTAAATTCTTGAATTCTAACTTTACTAACTTCACGAATCAACTGTAACTTACTTAATAATTCCCCTGTAACTGAATAATAATCCCCCCTTGCTTCAATTACATCCTTTTATATATCTTTTTAGGGTTCCAGAATTATCGGGAAAGAAAATATGTTCTAAACTTTTCATCTCATCCATAGATGAAAGTTCTCGAATCCTCTACTATGCAAATAGTCATATTGACGTTTTCCAGAAAATTCCTTGCTTTCTATAGATAATTTAAAGGACATTTAGGCTCTTCAGATCGGAATACACTTTTATATATACACTAAACATCTTACATTAATATATTATCACTAGTTAACATCCGTAATTATATTTAAATTAAAATTCCAAATAATAAATAACCCCACTTTCCATCTAAACGTCAAAGAACACAGTGTATGTTTGGTTGCATATGCACATGGCTGACTTAAACATATCTACTATTAAATAAAATTAAAAAAAACTTCTTAAACTTAATTCTTATGCTAAATTCTTAAAAATACCCTCATATAATTATTTTTTAATAATATTCGCTTGTATATCTAATTATTATCCCAATATATATTAAAGGTACAGGAAGAATGTCATACTTTTAAACAAGGGTTTGCAGCTGGCGCGATATTCTACTGAGTCAATAATTCGAATTGCTGCTTTTTGAAAAGTGAAAATTTTATTTTATATGGATAGGACGAGTTTCCCCAAAGAATTATGCAATATGTCAGGATACTGTGAACCATTCCAAAATAAACTGACCTAAGAATATCTCGACTTACAGAAGTAGCCAATCTGCGCATGGCAAAAATCTGCGAGACGAGCTTTTTACACAATCCTTCAATATGATGCGACCAGTTCAACCTTGTATCCATAGTAACACCAAGTAACTTTACTGGTTCAGATGGTTTAACCCATCTATCGGAACTAAATACTATTGTCTGGGTTTTTTGCTCGTTTAACTTAAGTTTGTTACAGTTAAACCAGCATTTAGATTGTTCTAATATTTCCTGACTGTAATCAGTTTTACCTCTACATAATAAGGTTGTGTCATCTGCAAAAAGAACGCAGTTGGTGTTTTCCAACGCACTTGGTAAATCATTTATATCTATCAAGAATAACAGAGGTCCCAAAACTGATCTTTGTGGTACCCCGGTTGAAACTGGTAGACGATTAGATTCTTGATTATTAAATGCAACAATCTGCGTTCTTCGTGTAAGATATGATTTTAAAAGGTCGTGTATGGTACCTCTTATTCCACAGTACTCTAATTTTATCAATAGTGTTTGAATATCCACTCAATCAAAAGCTTTTGTAAGGTAACGCATTAATCCATTAGTAGGTTCACCTGCATCAAGACCGTCAACAATCTGTTCTATTACGTTTAATAAAGCTTTAGTTACCCCCTCTGTGGCTCAGTGGTAAGAGCGCCTACCTTTAAACCTAAAGGTCGTAAGTTCGAATCTCATCTGGGTGGAGAAATTTTCGTTTATTAAAAATTAATGAATGAAAATAATTTCTATCCTTATGTGATCGGTACTCACCGGAGGGACCGCAGACGTTCGGATACAATTAGCGTCTCTTAGCAAAGACAATGACGTCGACTTTATCAAGACAATTACTGTACACACACACTACACACCTGACTGCAAAAATTCACTGTACCATGCCAATGACCATTAGTTGTCGACGCATTAAACTCAATAAAAAAAAAGCTTTAGTTGTTGAGTATTTTTTTCTAAAACCAAATTGAGAGCTAGATATAATTGATTAGTTATCCAAATAATTTTTATACGATCTTTAATTAAGATTTCAAAAATTTTACTTATTGGTAGAATGGTAATAGGTCTGTAATTGTCTGGAAAATTTTTATTTCCTCTTTTATGAAGTGGAATTACTTTTGATATATTGAATAGGTACATCAGGCCAGTAACTGTTAACTATTATTGTGAGTGGTTCAGTAATTATATCTAGAGATGCCTTAATAATTTTACTGTTAAAACCATAGTAGTTGACACATGAGGAATTTTTTAATTTGTGTATTCATTCTTTCACATCAGATGCTACTATTGGAGCCATAATGAACGAACTCAACCTTCTAGGTAGCCTGCTAAGATAGTAGTTTTGCTCAGTGAGTCATGCTGAGTTTTCTATTGATTTTGATATAATATCTGCTATATTCGTAAAATATTGGTTAATTTCTTCTGGTGTTAAGTTCAGATTTCAAGTAGTATTTTCCTTAGAGGTTTCTTTTTTTTAACAATACTCCATATTGTCTTACTTTTGTTAGTGGATTTGTTTATAATATTAGCATAAGCAGTACATTTTTCAGCTTTTATTGCTTGCTTGTATTTCGTTCGCATTTGAAAATATTTAATCCTATTATCAGTATTATGTGTTTTCCTATAAGTTGCTTTACAATCGTAGACTTCGAAGTTTGCGATTAAACCAATGAATAGCACGTTTTCTGCTATTCACGTTCTTTAAAGGAAAACAAATGCTGTATTCTTCACTCATATATCTCATAAACAACTCTATTATGTTGGATGAATTACAGTGGATATCGTCACAAACACAGTCCAATCTTTGGATTTAATTTCCACAATATTCTTAATATTGTTTTAGTTAGTTAATCTTTTTTTAGTCTTTTCTATAATTCAATATAAGGTTGAATGTTCGAATAATTAAACTTTGAGGGTATACAAGGCAACTATCGAACACGGTGAAATCTTGCCCAAGTACTTTCGATCAATAGATCATCTTCAGGGGCATTTCGTCAGTTGTGGCCTATCCGACATAGTAGAATGTCATAAATGTAAAATTTGGACATAACAATACAAAATACAATACACTAATTCTGTCTCCGGCTTCTATACAACATGTAGCTTCTCCTTAAAAAAAATTTAAAGTGTTTGTTTGTCTTAGTGTATTGTATTTTGTATTGTTATGTCCAAATTTTACATTTATGACATTCTACTATGTCGGATAGGCCACAACTGACGAAATGCCCCTGAAGATGATCTATTGATCGAAAGTACTTGGGCAAGATTAAATTAATCACCGTGTTCGATAGTTGCCTTGTATACCCTCTAAGTTTTCTATAATTAATTGATATGAGGTTGAATGCTCGAATAAATGCTTGAATAATTGTCTTCATTTTCTATAATTGTTGACACATTTTTTAAACAACTTATAGTAGCAAATATACCTAAATGATCAGATATTACACGATCGTAGACATCTGTAGATCATAGATCACATTCTCAAATTATTCCTGAAAATAATACATGGTCGTATAAATAAAAAAACTGGAAGAAGGAATAGATGATAGTCAGTTTGGGTTCAGAAACGGACTAGGAACCAGAGAAGAGAAGCGTTATTTGCTTTTAATGTGTTAGCTCAAAGATGCATGGATATGAATGTTGATGTACATGTTTGTTACGTTGATTTTGAAAAAGCATTTGACAAAGTAAGACTTCAAATTCTAAAGACAAAAAACATAGACCATAGGGAGTTACGAATAATATCAAACCTCTACTGGAATCAAAGAGCACAAATCGTAATAGATAACGAACCCAGTCCAGAAATTGAAATCAGGAGAGGAGTTAGGAGTTACTGCAATATAGACTTGAAAGCTGGACTTTGAAGCAAGAACACATAAATAAGTTACAGTCCTTTGAAATGTGGTGTTACAGGAGGATGCTTAAAATAGCATGGACACAGAAGAAAACTAACACGGAAGTATTGCGAGAAATGGGCAAAGAATGCGAAATAAACACAATAAAAATAAGAAAGTTGCAATATGTGGGACACGTAATGAGGGGACAGCGATATGAACTGCTAAGGCTGATAATACAGGGAAAGATAAGAGGAGGAAGGAATATAGGAAGAAGAAGAATGTCATGGTTGAAGAATTTAAGGGACTGGTTTAAATGCAGTTCTATGGAACTCTTCAGAGCAGCAGTAGATAGAGTAAAGATAGTGATGATGATATCCAACCTCGGATCGGAAGACGGCACTTAAAGAAGAAGAAAAAGAGACATCTGTATTTAAATTTAGTTCATTATTTATTTATATCAAATGTTTTAAGCCATACATGGTTAAGAAATTTCGTATTTCACAAACATGCCCTGTGTTTACTTCCATGTTTATGTTAATGTCCCCAACTACCATTGAATTTTCATAATTTTTGTAGGCGAAATCAATTAAATCATATAATTTAGCTTTTTATAACACTAATATCCCTTTTACAAGATCGATACAGTGCAATTATCAAAAACGATTATTTTTAATTTCAACACCACAGAATTCAGCACTCAATGGATCACAAAATTTGTTTAAATTAACAGGCTCAATATTACAATATATAATTGTAATATATATAATTGTAATATATATGTTATAATAATATAACAAGTTGAATATTATTCTCAGTATTTATATGTTTACGAAATTTTATTAAAAATTAATACATATTATAGTTAGCTACATTTCTTATATCACATTCAATAAATTTCATTACAAAATCGTAAAAAAGTGTAAATTAAACAAATCAATCATTGTGGCTGTACTCTACTTCTTGTAACGACCAAGTAAACTGCTCACTCCATCTGTCAGACGCTGTATACCACCCTGAAACACTCTACCGAATATATTACCCACAGCTGCCATTGGATTTAAACCGCCAGGCCTTCCTAATCCTCCAGGTCGCCCCATTCCTTCATATTCTCCTGGTCCTTCAGGTCTTCCCATTCCTCCATATCCTCCTGGTCCTTCGCCTCTTCCAATTCCGCCAAGTCTGCCCAATCCGCCAAGTCTACCTAATCCCCCAAGTCGTCCTAATCCTAGAGGTCCCCTAGATTCACCGCCGTAATTACCACCGTTACCATAAGGTACATCTCTACCATAGCCGCCACCGGAAGGATAATTCGGCTGTCTTCCATATCCGCCCTCTCTTTCCGAATACATACCACCTCTTCCTCCATAACCGCCCTGTCCGTACGACCCCTCTCCCCTACTAGGACCCTGGTCGTCGTATTCGCCGTCGTAGCGAGGTTTTTTGTCGAATATTCCTTTGGGAATGGCGGGAACGTTTTTTCCGATCGATCCCTCTTCTCTGTCGTTGCCAATGCTTGCTTCCGGACTCTTGAATTCCGAATCTTCGTAACGCGCAGGTGATGATTCGGCCATCCATGCGAGAGCCAAGGAAAGGAAAATAATTTTGGAAATCTGAAAGGTAAAGAGAAACTGTTAGTCCTTTTCAATTAAATAAAAAAAAATTAGATTGCAAAATTATTATGCGAAATCTATTAAATTGATTGTAATGAAATTTGGAGGTATGTTTTATTATATTATAAAGATTTTTTAAACGAATAATGAAGGTCCTCAGTGTTGGGGAGAAGTGGGCTCCTTCAGACTGGGGGCAGCTTCAGACATTGATATTGTGGGTAAATTTAAGGACTCTTGTTGGCAACACTGACATCAAAACATTTCATTACTACTCACACTATTGTAGTTCAGTGTGTAGAACAGTGCAGTAAAGGGTTCATGTCATAAAGTGAAAAGTTAGTTTTTGGTGATTGAAAGTCAAATTTTTGGATTGAAGGTAAGATGAGATGAGAGATAGAATGCTTCTAATTTGCGACAATAATAATCATGAGAGCCACTTGTCAATTGAGGCAATAGAACTAGCAAGAGCTAATGGCGTGCATATTCTAACAGTTCCACCCCATTGTACCCACATGATACAACCACTGGATGTGGGATTGATGAAACCTTTTAAAACATATTATAATGCGGAAATTGATTAATGGTTGAAGTCTAACCCAGGCCAACGTTTTGGAATCTATCGCGTGGCCGCATGTGTTAGAATAGCACATGGTCGTCTCATGTTACCACAGAGCATTATAAATTCTTTCAAAAAAAAAAACATGAATATTTCCAGTTGACAGGCACGTTTTCACCGACGATATGGTTGCTCGCAGTCTGGTCAGTGAGAGACCTAATCTTCCAGACGAAACTCTTCCTGATGAACCTCTAACATGCCAATTAGCTGCAAGTCTACCAACTTTAGAATCTGAAAAACCACCCTCATCTCCCTAAATCTCAAGCGAAAACTTTCAGCAACCAATAGACACTCCATCAACATCAAGCTGAAAAACTCTAAGCCTATGCCCTCTCAACAGTCTGGCTGTTAATTAAGTCCTGAGGAGATACGAAGATATTCAAAATCGAAACTTAATACTAGCTTCAAGAAACCAAGAGAAAAGGGGAAAAGCAGAATAACAACTGACACCCCAGAAAAGCTTCTGGCAGAAGAACAGATCAATCAAAAAACAAAGAAAAACACCAACTCTAATGCTGAACGTACTAAATCTACAAAAATAAAACTACTTTTTGAAAATGAGAAGAATGAGAAGATAACTAATGATGAAAATGGCAAAAACTCATGGTAAAGTATTAGAAGAACCACAGCAAAATTTTGACAGGAGTGAATTGAAAATTGAAGATTTTGTGCTAGTTAAAATTGGGACTGCAAAACAAAAAGATGTGTACTATTTTGGTAGAAACATTGTTAAATGTGATGATGGGATGTTGAAATTTCATTTTTGAGAATGTCATCTAAAGTAAATTATACATTTTTCCACCCCATCGTACCAGATATCTCTAGTGCTTCTTTATCAGAAATTGTAGCCCTTTTGCCAACTCCTTCTGAGCAGGGTACAAAGCGACAGAAATCATTATTGTCTTTTTCAGTTTTATTGGAAAACTTCAATATGCATTAGGGGTTTGATTAAGTATCATAATATATTTTTAAATATTGTAATAAATAATTTATAATATAACATAACATAACATAACATAACATATATAACATATTGTAATATATAATATAACATAATTCATAATAATAACATTTATACGAGGTTGTCATTTTTCCAATTGTGTCTGAAGCTGCCCCATTCCTCGTCTGTAGGTGGGTCCCCACTTGGGGACACCTACAGACGTTTTTGAAAAAGTGGTTATGCTGTTTTTTTACAAGTATAGGGTTTAATATTAAAAGCATATATACAGTGAAAGTTGCGTGAACAATGTATTTTATGAACATTTTCTTTCTTTATTTGGTGAGATATTTAGAGTGATATGACAGTTCAAATTTTTATGTCTGAAGTAGCCCCACTCTCCCCTAATCTATGTGAATTGAATAAAAAAGGCTTGTTTCCCACTCGTTTTTTTTATTTAGTGCCATTTTGCGACAACGGTAATAAATATAAACATTTTTAGCCAGTGAAAAATTTCTAACCTTATAGAAACCATTTTTAACCTAATAGAAACCAGAATTTAGTCGATTTCTTTAGAGATACGCCCTGGTTCATAATTAACGATGACTGATCGGTAAATAATTCAACTTTTAAATTATTTCCACAAAACCGGTCAAATTTTGAAAGGACCCGATTAAAAAATAAATTAAATAAACGATTTGTACTTTATACAGCGTCAGCAGAAACGGGAATCACTTGGTCATCGGTAATTATCGATTGTGACATTAAGAAAATGGGACGGAATAGTTTTTTAATTGCTTAATGCGAAGATAATCGATTGTTGTAGAAGGGTTGGTAGTAAACTTTGGAAAAAAAGAATTACACACAAATATTTTTCATCGGCAGTGGATTTATTGTTGATAAAATATTTTCAGCAAGATTAATACACTTTTGAATAATCGCAATTTATTTTTAATACTGTAGGAGTGGAATTGCGGTCACTTGGTGCCAAATCAGAGTTAATTTGTGGTTGAGTTTCGATTTCAAAAGAAATTCGATAACACATTGTGATTCGTTCAGTTCAGATTCATTGAGATAAAGAAATTGTGGTGTATCGTTCAAAAATTGAGCATTTTACATTGTTTCATGTTCACAGATCAACGACGTAGGCATTAAAATAGTTGATTAACATTATTATTGATAATGTGTACATGAAAATAAACATATTTTGACAGACTGACTGTGTACAAAGATTTTGGAAAGAAGTATCAAAGACGGTTAACAAGTTGTTCAGTAAATTTGTCAAAAATACTCGTTAGATAGATATCCTGATTTAATTAAGATCAGTAGAAATAACAACTATTGATAATATGCTGTAAAAAACCCATCCAAGTGTTGATATAAACTGTACTGATGACGAGAACAGAAGAATCAGCTCAAAATGATGTTTTTACTATGAATAAAGTGTTCTTTCATCGGAAAAGTAAGACAAGAATTATAAGGAAACCGTTCTGGATCTGAAGACCTTGAGAAGAGAAATGAAATTATAGAAAAACTTTGAAAAATTGCAGAAAGAAGGATTTAATTGCAATAGACAAAAATTTGAAACACTTCCTTGCCACTTAAGAAGGAAACAATAGAATAAACATCATAAAGAACCAAATGGATTACATAATGGTTAATCTGAGATACAGAAAGACAGGATTCGCCAAAAAAACATATCTGAGGATAGATATAAATTCTGGTCGCCGTGAACAGAAGAAAAAACTGAAGCAAAACCAAATAAAACATGGAATACTCCGACAAATAAAAGAAAATTATTATATTTAGGGCACATCTAGAGAAATCAAAATAAATATAAGTTGTTATGAGTTCTAGAAAGCAAAATCCTTGAAAAGAGTAGCCTAGGGTGCGAACGTTGGATAAAATTGGCGCCAAAGCATGATTTGGAGAAAAATAGACACGGATGTGTTTAGTGTTGGTCGAAAAATATTGCTAAAATAAGTTTTTGAAAGATAATGTTGGGGAAGAAATGTCTAGAGGAAAATAATACGATAGGAATACGTTCAATAGTGGGAAAAAAAGTTGCTACAATGACCTCTGGCAATCAAAAAGGCAGGGAAGGGAAGACTAAGCTAATAACATTAGATAAAATTGGCACTTACAAATTTGGACGTTAATATGAGTGGAATACATTCATTAGTGGTCAAAAAATGTTGCTATGCTGAGGTGTTAGAAAGAAAAATGTCCGGAAAGGCAAGTTTATGCTAAGAGCGTTGAATAAAATTGGTCTTACTACAATTGGACAATAATAAGAAAGGAATACATTCATTTGTGGTCAAAAAATATTACTGCAATGAGTTCTGGAAAGGAAACTGCCAGTAAAGGCAAGTTAGGGTTAAAAACATTCGATAAAATTGGCTCTAACACAGTTGGACATTAAAAATAAAGGAATCCATTCATTAGTGGTCAAAAAATGTTACTGCGATGAGTTATGGAAAGAAAACTGTCAGCCAAGGCAAGTTTAGGCTAAAGACATTGGATAAAACACAATTGGACATTAATAAGAAAGGAATTCATTCATTAACGGTCAAAAAATGTTGCTACAATGAATTCTGGGAAGAAAAATGCAGGGAATGAAAATTAGACTAAAAAGTTGGATAAAATTGGCACTTTACAAAATTTGGACGCTAAAGAGAGGATACATTTATGAGTTCTGGAAAGAAAACTGCCAGGGAAGGCAAGTTAAGGCTACAGATATTGGATAAAATTGGCCCTAACATAATTGGCCAATAATAAGAAAGGAATACATTCATTCGTGGTCAAAAAATGTTGCTACAATGAGTTCTGAAAAGAAAATTGACCAGGAAGGGAAGCCTAAGCTAAGAAGTTGGAATAAAATAGGCGCCAATTCATTTGGAGTTTAATTAGAAAGCAAAATGTTTACTAGTGACCGAACAATGTTGTTCCAATAAGTTCCTGTAAAGAAAAATATCAGGAAATCAAAAGGTATTGAATAAAATTTGTGCCAAGACATTTGGAAATAATAATAATAGAGTAGTGGATAAAAATTGTTGCCGAAATGGAAAGAAAAATACAGCAGAAGAAAAGAAGGATAAAAACGTTGTTTATGATTGGCTTCAAAACATTTGGACAGATATCAGAAAAATAGTAAGGCCGAAAAAAAGCCGATACAAGATTAATTAAAAGCCTTGAAAGAAAAATCCACAATTTTGAGCTTAAAACAAGAGCTTAATGAAAGTTTTTAAGAATAAAGTGAACTTCCATTAACAATTTACAAAAATCTAACTTGTAGTTACCAAAATAATTTTTTAAACAATAAACAGCTGTTATTGTAACATAATTTTTCGAAAAAAAGACTCCATAGTATCATTTTAAGTATATTATAAAGACTTACCATTTTTTCAGCCGTGTCGCTGCTTCAAACTGATTGTTGTCGATTGTTCACTTCTTAAATGAATGTGTAATCGTTAGATCATTAGTTTCGAAAGAAAAAACCCAAATTGTGGATACTAGTAACTGCATGGGCGTACATTTACAGGAAAAATTTCAAGAACGTACTAATTGTTCCGGAAAGTATGATGATCTTCTGGTATTAAGTATTTTAAAATTATTGAATGAGCGGTGACGTAGGGAGATAAATGTTAGACTAGACTTACCTAGAATAGCCGACATCTTTTAAATATTCGATTAATATAAAATATAGTAAAAATTTGACCTAAGGAAGAAATGTGTTGAAAATATCTTCAATAATTAGCTATTTAAGTTGTTTTGTATCGTACTTTTGGGCTTTTCCATGACATTTTTTTATAAAGTGCCTCGTTAGACGATTCTCTTAACCTGCTGCAATATTGTCTATAAATATTACAGTTGGCACACGCTCAAAAACGTTGAAAGTAACGATAAATTGTTTCGTTCTAGGCGTTCAGACCTCCGCAAACACACCATAGTCCACACCGGCGTAAAACCCTTCACCTGTCCCATCTGCTTCAAATCCTTCTCGAGAAACACCAACCTCTCGAAGCATATGCGAATACATTCCGGAACGAAGCCGTTCGTTTGTCCAAAATGCCCCAAAACGTTCACCTCGAAGGCCGATTTGTCCAGGCACGCCATTATCCACAACGGGCAACGACCGTTCAGCTGCAATTATTGCCATTTGAGTTTCGGACGCAAGGACAAGCTGCAGAGGCACGAGAAGAAGCATTTCCCGCAAGAGAAGGAAGACAAGTCGAGGGAGTTGCAGATTATGAGGGAGAATTTGTCGATTTTTACTAGTGATCAGAAAGAAGAGGAGAAACAAGAAGGTAAGTACAAAGAGATCTTATTCCTTATTCATATTTCTTAAGAAATCATTTCAAATACATTTTGAACAACTATTAGTATGCTCTTCTATTTTAGGTTCATCTGAAAATATGATTATAGACCTGGACCCATTCAGTCATAATGACTACACCTCCGAGACCACTCCGCAAAGAGGAGAGATGTCGGAGCTTGATCCACCCGCCGAAATCGACGATGATAGAGACGATAGTTCCTATACGGGGAGCAAGAATACTTCAAAACCGGACAAGCCATTTAGGTAAGCAATTCTTTAAGTTCTGATAGTGCAAAAATTGGTTTAACTTCTGTTTTAATAATATAACGTAGTGTTGTTATCTATTGGTGGTCCAAATGTGCATATAGCATCACTAAACAGCTCCATGGACTGTCGAATTGCCCTCAAATAGGATAATGTTGTATATTTATATTGTTCTAATTTATTTGTCTTTATTCTAATTTATTGTCTATATTCTAATTTATTAAAACTCACGATAACTAATTACTAATTTATTAAATAGCTGTACAAATGTATTTATTTCACGTTTCGTTACAAGTAAACCGCGTTTCCCGATCTTCTTATGACTGCCTCAAATAAAAAAAATCTTTCATTTATATACACAACTGTTATCATCTAGAAAACTTCGAATTTACTGGAACAGAAAACAGAATTAGTCATAATATATTGATAGTTATAAACGCCATAATTATCGTAACAATAAAATATACTGCCTGGCATAAGTTAGGGATATTGATAATATAATGGTAATGGTACTTCATTCTGTTTCAATTATTTGTAAGTAAACAATTAAACATTTTTCTCCTAAATTATCTGTGATAAGGACAATGTCTTGTGTCTTCTGTAATAGTCTAATGCCGATATGAATAATTTCGGTGACAATGTATCTCCTTGCTTGTTTTTTAATTGACGAATTTCGCATTTCCCATTCGTTAATTTTCTACGTAGAACATTTAGGCTGCTATTTTCCTCTATCTTCTTCTTCTTCTTCTTAGCTATCGGTCTCTATCCTAAGCAACATATTTCCAATTTGTTCCGGCTATTCTTTTAATGTCATCAACCCATCTCATCTGTGGTCTTCCTCTTGGTCGTTTACTTTCGTAAGGTCTCCAATGTTGTATTGTAGTATTCCAACGTTGGTCTTTCTGTCTAGCAGTGTGGCTCGCGAAGCTCCATTTAAGTTTGGCAATTTTTGTTGTTATGTCCTTGACTTTTGTTTTGGATCTTACCCAGTCGTTCCCCTTTTTTATCTGACAGTCGTATACCTAACATTGCTCTTTCCATTGTTCTTTTTGTTGTGGCTAGTTTATTCATGTTTGCCTTGATTAGGGTCCAAGTTTGGCATTCATATGTCATGATAGGAAGGATGCATTGGTTAAATACTTTGCTCCTCAAGTATTGGGGTGTTTTGCGGTTCTTAAGTATCCAACTAAGTTTTCCAAATCCTGCCCATGCTAGTCTTGCTCTTCTAGTAATTTCCGCACTTTGGTTCTCTTTGTCAAGTCTCAGGATTTGGCCTAGGTAGATATATTCCTGGATTTGTTCACTGATCTCACTGCCGTTTATAGTTATATGTCTGGGGTCATCTGTGTTTGTCATTACTTTTGTTTTTTTCATATTAATTTTTAGGCCGTCGTATTGGGAGCTGGCTGCTAGTTCCCCGAATGTTCCAATAATTTGCAGTTCCTCGAATATGCTCGCTATAATCACTATGTCGTCAGTGAATCTGAGGTGGTTTAGCTTGTTGCCATTAATGTTAATGCCATAGGTTGACCAATTTGTAGTTTTGAAGACGTCTTCTAGGGCTAGGTTGAAAAGCTTTGGCGATATTACGTCTCCTTGGTTGCTGCAAACAAACTAAAACTTAACTCTGATAAAACGCAAAATATGGTTATATCTGCAAGTAATTTACACAATGATCTAGTTAACAAAAAGACTGTTAAACTATTGGGAATAACCATAGATAATCGACTCAACTGGTCTGCTCATATCTCACACCTTAAGAAACAGCTATCAAGTTCATTATTTGTTATTCGCCAACTAGCAAGGGTTGTGAACTTTGAAACATTAAAAATGACATATTTTTCTTTATTCCACTCTCACCTAAACTATGGTTTAATTATATGGGGCAATTCAACAAATGCACTTAAAATTTTTAGAATACAAAAGAAAGCTGTCAGGATTTAGCAGGGGTTAGTTATCTAGAACACTGCCGACCTTTCTTTATCAAAATCAAAATTATGCCTCTACCTACTCTGTTGATATTGCAAGTTTTAACTCAAATTCACAGAAAACGTGCCCATTTAATAAAGCAGTCTGATGTCCATATTCACAACACGCGAAACTGTCACTACTACGAACAAATCGCTGTAGATTAAGTCTTTCAGAAAAAAATAGTCTTAATTATAACTATTACAATATTTTACCAAAAAGTATAAAAGAGCTAAGCTGTAATAGTTTCGATAAAGTTATAAAAAAATATCTTTTAAAACATTGTTTTTACTGCTCAGAAGAATATATGACTCATTGCAGAACATCCACTGAACTGCTTACCGTAACTTTGCCATAAATATTTTTCTGTTTAATATGTTTTCATGTTTGTATTATTTAATGTTTTATTATTTAATACTATGTATGTTTTTTTTTGACTTGCTACAAACAATATTTGTATATGTTATGTAGTTAAATAAATACTCTACTCTAATCCTTGTCTCACTCCTCTCTTAATGGGGATGGGATTTTCCTCTATAGTGCGTTTAAATTATCGGTTTTAAATTCCCTTAAGTCTCTCCTGATTGCCATTGAAATAGTTTTATTTATTTCACTTAGATTGTGGCTATCTGCATTTTTATCGCTTCTCATTTGTCTTCTTTAGTCAGCAGCGTTTCAGTATATGGACTTACTTTACTATCTGATTTTTTTTAGGACTGCACTCGGCGACCTTCTTGTAAAGCATTTATGATGCACTTATAAGATATAGGTTGTCAAAATATAGACTATTAAACCACATAAGGTACCACCAATTTAATATAACCGCCAGAAAATTTAACATGTTAATTTCCCAACAAAGACAAAACGCATGGTTACAACAGCAAATTTTTTAAGATGTAAATTGGAGCTGAAAGGTCAGATAATAAGACAAGTGATGGAGTTTAAATATCTAGGCATCGCATTATCTAGCTACGGAAAGCTCGAAACCGAAGTGGAAGATCAAGTGAATAGAGCAAACAGAGCTTCAGACTGCCTAAACGAAACTATGAGAAATAAAAATATCGGGAAATAAACGAAAGGCAGAATTTGCAAAACAGTCATCAGACCAATAATGACCTGACACAAAGAGAACAAAAAGGATGTTAGAAACAGCAGAGATGAAAACACTTAGAAAAATTGATGGTAAGACAATATGGGACAGAGCTAGAAGTCTCCACCTTGCAGCTATACGACATAGATGTGAGGTGGAGAACATCAAAAACTGGATAAGAAATAGAAGAGTAGAATGGAACCGTAAGAAGACCACGAAAACGATGGAATGACAACTTACTGGAGGCATATTGAAAAAAAGACATGAGTCATGTCTATATAAAAAGAAGAAGAAGAAGAAACCACATAAGGATATTAGATTTTAACACAGAGTTTAGGATATAACACAGAGAAGTTTATGCGACACTATCAATGAAGCACTTACAGCAAGAGACTAAGAACGGCGCAGCAGGTCATACTGAATATTAGATAAAAAAGATCTTGCATTTTGTATGAAACAACCATGGTCTGCTTTATTTCTTATATTGGCAAACAGCCATGGTCAGCTTTAGAGTCCTTAATTTTTTTATTAGAGCTTTTTACAATCATATTTTTTCTATTTTAGGTGTTTGCAATGCCCAAAAAGCTTCTCCAAAGCAGAAAATTTATTATCTCATCAAGCCATACATTCTGGGAATAGACCGTTCGGTTGTCATATTTGCAATAAGTCGTTCATACGCAAAAGGGAATTGGACAGGCACATAGCGACGCATTCAGGAATGAAGCCTTTCAAATGTCCCAGGTACGTAGATCTATGTAATATCATTATTGTCATTGATTTTGAAAAAAGTATTTGGTAGAAAACAATAAAAAACTTTTTTAAACACTCTATTCTATATATTTGAGGAGTGAGGGGAAAAAGCACAATCTGAGTCCATAAAAACAGTTTTCATGGAAATCGAAATTTAATGTTTCAAATTAAAACAAATCATTTTACCTCAACCGTATAAATCGGTAAATTTTTTCAGTGGTATGTTGACATGTTTACAGAGGAAATATCAAGAGTAGACAAAAATATTTTATTTGCCTTTCGGCTTCATTGACGTCCCCAAAACAACGAAAACGGTGGCACTTGCAATCTGGCACTACCTCATGAGTGGTGACTCTCGGAAGTTTCATAACGTCATAAACACTGCTTGTTTTTCTTCTATTTTTAGCAGCAGTCCCCACATTTACATCACTACAATCGCTACCACTACTTTCCATTTTAATCAGTATGTACTCACTACATTGCTATTGTTCAAATAGAATCAACTGGCAAACTAGAACACACCAATGAAGTGAGACGACAGAGTGCCTTCGGACCCTGACGGTTATTCCCTAGCAGCGCTCGGACTATGAAGTCGGAGATACACATGCCTGTTACTAGCACAATGGCATACCAGTACCTAGCAAGCACCAGCTGCTGTCTCCAAATTGGCAAGTGCGTACGTTATCTGGCATGCTAGCTAGATGCAAAGCGCATGCGTGGGGAGTGTCACTGGCAAGTGTGAATGTAATAATCAGAGGCGACTCCGCTGTCACCACTGTAAATAATAAAGAATGGGAGCATTATGTGAAGTTATGGAAGACGCTGTCACCAAATGAAATACACAATAGATCCTCAAGGGATGCTAACCCTGCGAGCGGCTGCAAGGAATACTGGTCACACTGGTCTGGAGGGCTGGCTCGTCTTCGTGGATTTACGAGAAGATAAGGGATTTCGGGATAGGGGTAAGGACTCCTAGGTCCCAGGTCCTGTAAAGAGTAGAGGTTATGGGCTTACTTTTGAAGCCGGAGATATGCATACGCAGAATCTCGTGTTCTCCTAGTCTCTAGTGAGTCGGACGAAAGGAACATTAAAAAAACCAAATTAGAGTCAACAATATATTGAATCTACCCTGAAGTTACTAATACAATCGTTAACACGTTATTCTGCGCGTCGGGAGACGATGTAGCAAGATAGTGAAGAGTTGACAGTGGTACTAATATAATTACCCAGGTTAGTATAAGAAATCTGTTACCTTATGTGTATATTAGGGCTTCAACCACGACACGTTCAGTCTTCTGGAACTCGGTCAGTTGAGGGTTGCGAACTTTCGAGCTGCCACAATAACCGGACTACACGCGAACTCTGCCAGATGATACGCGGCCCCCGGAGAATCACCGATTGTCTCGTACTGTTCGCGTACGGGACGCTGTCGCGTCCCAGTCACGGTGGCCCGCTATTACTGACTGCCCATTACCAACTACTCGTACCCGACGCTACCGCGTCGAGAGTACCCGGGGCGGCAATTGATGCCTGGACGCCCGCCGTCTCACTACTACTGACTGACTACTAACTACTGACTTGGCTGTCCCCGTTTTCTAGTTTTTATCGAATGGTGTCCTCATTGACCGGTTATAGTCCAAGGTTGTGTTTTCGTTGAATTGTGGGTCCTATATTGCATTACAATAACAGTTTTTTGTTTGACGTGCTTTTCTATGTTTAAACAATTAACAAACAATGCAATAACTAGGTCAATTTATTTGTGGGATTTAAAAATGAAAATTTTACTGTAATAATTATCCCTTATTTGATTTGGAATATATAATAATTATCTCGAATAATTATTATCTTTTCTATGCTACTTAACCATTTAATTCAACTTCTCACTCACTTGCTACGCTTACATTACATGAAACCCTACCGCTACGAACATGCCAGTAGCTAGCAGAGAATTGTCAGATTGGTTGTGTTTGTGATAAAAATTGTTCCAAGATTTTCTCGCTTACCAATCCAATTTCTCAACCAAACTTTTCTCTTTTTTGAGTTCTGCTTCGGAATCATTATTAAATTTCTAACAATATTTGTGGTCATTAGCAATGTTTGCTTGTAAAATTCATTTCGAATATACACAAGTATTTTAGTTTCAGATTATTTTCAGTTTACTAGTACTGACATGTGTAAAAATCTACCCTGCTTTTCGCCTCTAGGCAAGCGAGCTACTGGCATGCCAGGTACTTTCCCAATTTACTGGCATGTGTGTACCCGGCTTTATGGTTCTTCCGCAGTACATCGTTTCATTTAACATTTGTAATAAAAGGACTGTAAATGTTTTTCCCTTTTACTCTGTACCATCCGAAATTAATTTGTACTCATCACTAGAAATCTTCGTCATCTCAATTTCGACCAAAAGTGGACTATGATTGTTTCCCCCCCATATATGAAAACTTATTTTAACAATAGAAGTTCTCTTCTTTATTCTGACGTTGCTTTTACATTTGTGTTGTAGGTGTACGAAGAGCTTTGGTCGAAAAGACAAGATGATGCGGCACATGCGCATCCATGACGTCAACAAGACCTTCACGTGCGGAGTGTGTTATCACACGTTCAATAGAAGAGATAGTCTTCACCAGCATATGAGGGCGCATCACGCTACCAAAGAGACTGTAGAGACTGGTAATGGACTGGAATGATACGTTATGTATTTATATTATAGTGGTTATATGATTGATTGGATCTAGGATTTCCTGTTGCCTTGTATCACTTTTATAGTGTTGCTATTTTTATTGTCAACTCATGTTGTATTTTGTATTAATTATAAAATAATGTTGATGTTTTTGTAGTATTTTTTTAACCATTAGTAACATTCAACGGCCAGCAAGTTAGATTGTAGTTAATCCTTGGTATATTCAATTAAAACCTGCAGGTAGGTAGGGCAAAAACTGCAAGTATAGAAGAAAAGTGGGAAAATCTCAAGACCAACTTAATCATATCTGCTGAGGAAACTTGAGGGAAGACAAAAATAGCAAATACTAGCATGAGGAGAACTGAATGGTGGACCGACGAAATAAGAAGGAAAATAAAGAACAAGAAAGAAAAATGGAAGAGATATCTAAGTACAAAGCGCCCTAAAGACTATGAGGCATATAAAGAAAAAAGAGGTTAAAATAGCTGTGAAAGCAGAAAAAGAAAGGTCATGGGAAAAGTTTGGACTAAAAATGACAAATAATTATAGGGAAAAACAAAAAACCTTTCTATGGCGCATTAAAACAGCTCAGACAAAAGAAAGAACACATGATACCGAATATAAAAGACGTGAACGTCTTTAAAGTGAAGCACAGTATGTTTTTGGGTCTCTAAATATGGATTTAGAGTCAAGAATTTTAAAATTCAAAATGGCAGATCCAGTATAGCGTCCCAAACAATGAAAATACTTTAAATTTTGTTCATCTTGAAATTCAGTATATTTTTTGGGTCGCTGAATATGAGTTTCGCCCGCTGAATATGAAATTTTAATAAATCAAAATGGTATATCCAATATATCGCTCTAAACATTGAAAAGGCTCTTGAAAGTGAAACACAGTATATGTTTTTGCCATAATTTCAAAATTTTAAAGGATAGATCGAATGAATTGCTTCAATGCATAATTCATTTTGATCCAAAGGATTGAAACTCTCTTCCTTGCATATGTGAGGCTAGTATTCGGTTGTGTACCGTAGGGGAATTAATAATAACAACTAGAGATACTTGTATATTGATGTATTTGCAGAATTTTTTCGTATACAGTACAAAATTACTTTATATATACTTTCATCATTATATGGAATCAGTATAAGGCACGATATAAATGGTAAAAATACAGCAAGGGGACGATTTTCTTACAAAAAATATCAATAAATACTTAAAATACCTATATATAAGTACGAACATCGACTAAATTATAGTATACAGTTTAACATAATGAGCAAATCAAATAAAACGTACAGGGTGTTCAAAAAATATACTTCTCTCTACCTATGTACACGATTTTTCAGCGCCGTTTCTAAAAATATACCGTGTACACGCATTTTTCGAACACTCTGTACTTACATTAAAGGCAGAAGGTATCAGAAAAGGTTATAGTTTACACATTGAGCACTGGTATTAAAGTTTTTCGTATATAAAAATATAAGAAGTGATTGAAGTATTTGTGAACGGTGGAAATACTTTCAAGCAACAAAGAAAACTGTTTCATCACTGTGCTAGATGCTACAACTTCCTATGAACGTTCCAGCGCTCATTATTCAGTCCTTGATGTCAGTTGAAGTTCCCACAGAGATGATTTACTCTACAACGATCGATCTTTTGATCGTTAAACAAGTTGCAATAGTTATTCGTTGTGTTTCGTTTTTTCACTTGGTCCTTCGAGCCGGATATTTTTATTTAGCTCCAGAAGTGAAGGTGAATACAGTTCAATCAATCATTTCAAACAAGAATCGTATCTATTCTGCTATTACTATTGTGTTATATAGACGGTAAAGCTTTTTGTCGATATTGAGGTTGTGATATACCAAGTTTTATGTTCTGCTAGCCAATTCTTCTTGTTGCTCGAAAACATCCACCAGCTGCGTGATTAAAATGTAGACTACCTAAATGTATACAGGATAAACGCTTTGAGACCCTAAACACTATATACGCTGCAACAAAAAAGTGATATACTTTGGTAAAAGTTCAAAAATGCACCATCCTTAAGCTTACCCTGTACACAGAAATGCTAAATGTTCGAATGTGTGCTGCTATCACAAGATTCAGGTCGTGTGTTTGTTTAAACGGTTCGGTTGTTGGCACTTCCACTACTTGGTAAATGTACAGCGAGTTTTACTACAGGAAACAAAATGGTCCAACGAAATAATTTAGTGGTAAGGCTTGAGCTGTCGGTTGAACTGGTAGCAGTTTTTAGTTGAAATTCTTCGGTAATTATGGAACTTTCGTTGTTTTTTAACTCTTCTTCTTTTTATCACATTTCCATTATATTCTCGACATATTTTAATTTTAACGAAATGCTTCAGTTTCATAATTACCAAACTTCCAACCAAAACTGTAAAATAGAGAGCTGCAAAGTGCGAAGTACATGCCATACACATTTTTTGCTGGACACCTATATTCCAAAAACAATTTCTTTCCGCCACATGAAAGTTTAAGCCTAGATTTAATAATATATAATATCAAAATAGTTTTTTTCGTATATATACAACTAGGATAATATACAGAAGGGCATATACATAACTAAAAGGGAAGAAGTTGTTTTAGCTGTCAATTTTTGTTGAGAAAAGTACAGGTAATCCGGATTTTGCCGACTTCCATTCGAGTTTTTTTGCTAAAATATACATAAAACCAAACTTATATGGAATCACCCAGTATTTCTTACTAATAATAAGAAATGTAGGACAACTTTTTTTGCAAATCAGAGATAAAGATTTTTGTTGGACATACGATTCATAATTGATAAAATTTAATCAAGTCCACACAACTAGTGATCGACAAGACCGGTTTTTAGGTGAAATAGCTAGAAAAAATCCAACCTGTTCTCATCCGGAACTCCAAAGGCAACTTTTGCAGACTACAGGTATTGACATTTCAGTTGAAACAGTACAAAAGAGACTACGTTCCCAAAATTTATTTAGCAGGAGGCAGTTGAGGGTGCCCGAATTATCCAGACAGAACAAAATTGATCTGCTGAATTGGTGTTTGGAACACCAGAACTGGACAAATGAAGATTGGCAAAATGTCCTTTTTTTTTCAGATGAAACCAGAGAAACTGTAATGTTTTGGGGATGTATTATGATGGGAGAAAAAACACATTTGCGTCACTTACGGCAAAGTTTAAAGAGCCGATTTGATACTAGAACCCTTAGTTAGACTGTGGCGAGGTGCAGTGGGAAATATTTTCATTTTGATGCACGATAATGCCCCTCCACATACCAATAGAGTTGCCACAGACTTTCTGGAAACTGAAGATGTCACTGTTCTGAGCTGACCTGCCTCCTCACCTGATATTAATTCCATTGAGTATGTGTGGAACCTCATTAAAAGAAGGATTAGAGCTCGAACGGATAATCCAGGTAATGCGGATCAGCTCATTCAAGCCGCTCTAGAAAAATGGGCAAACTTACCTTAAGAAGATCGGATTGAAGCTTGTGTTAGAGCTAGAGGTGGCAACACTGACTATTAAAATGAACAACAAGACTGTATCTTTCTTTAGTCAACCATTGCAATCTTTTGTTCGTGTTTTTTTGCGTTTTTGTTAATTTCAAGCATTTGTAACATTTTTCGACTGTTTTGTTTTTGATAGTAATTAAACTGGTTTAGTATAAAATGTAGTTCATGTTCCATTAAATATAATTTAGTAATACTTTACAAAATCGGAAATATTGGGTGATTCCATGTAAGTTTGGTTGTGTGTATGTGAACCATAGAATGGCTTTTGTAAATGTTCACTATCTTGAAAATATAATACTGTACGCTGCTGAAATGTAATTATCAGATAAATAAATGCAGAACACTACTTTCATATAATTAGATACAAGAAACTTATTGAGATCATCTCGAATTGAAGAAAAAAATTACAAAACAGTCAGCAGCGTCTAGTCTGGAACACATCTCTACTAATTTTACCGTAAAAAGACTTGGCAGTAGTGAAAAAAATTCTTAACGCCTTAAAAACTGGTATTTCTAATACAGATTAGTGGAAAAATTGGAATCTTTGTTTTACTGTAACTATTTTATCAAAAACTGATTTCTTTTGCGCCATCTGTGGGCAAACGATGGCATTATTTAATAAACCAAATGCATAATCAATTTAAAAAGACAGCATCGAATGGTGTGGTACCATTAAGCGACATTTTCTTCAGTATTTTTTTGAAGAAAGCTGAAACTTGACATTTGACGAGAAAAATAAATGTTTAAGATAAAAAATTCACCAATTTTTCCACATTCCTTAAATAATATATTTACTTAACCTACAAATATCAGAATATATACATCTTAAATCTACAGCGTGCTTAAAAACGAAATAGTATATTAATAGATCACAATAAGTAAAAAATACAATTTTTAAAATACTTCACATCGATGTATTTCCTATTTAAATGGCTTTAGTACAGTCCTCTACAGTTCATACATATATTTTCACACAGCACAGCCTTTGCGAACTCCGTATAGGACTTTGAGCTCGGGGAATATGATCTTGTTGATGAGCTGGTGGGTCTTGCCCGCCAGCATCGCTCGTCTGGGGTCCTTCTTGTAGATCTTTATGCCCGGTTTGTGGACCAGGAACGCGTTGTCCAGGATCATGAAGTCGTAGTCCAACACGCACAAAGCATAACCCTGAAAACATTGTTGTTAATAGTGGTACTACTTAAGGAGGGTTGACAGTAGGAGAACATGCTGTGCCTAGGGACGGTTGTACCTAGGGACAGGTAAAGACCTAGTAATAAATTTTTGTAACGCCATCTGTTTTCAAGATACAGGGCTTGAAGAAAAAAAAAATTTACGCAGTTTTTACGATTTTGCTGAAACTACTGGCAACATTGTAATGAAATTTTATACGAATATGTTTTGGAAGCTGATACATCCCATGAATTTGTTTTTATATCTGATTATCATAGAGGGCGCTAGTTACACGGATCGTACTAAGTATTAGTCAATATAACTTTTTTAAGAGTATAATTATTAATCAAATTTTCAAGTAAACTTAAACATCATTCAATTTTACACGAAAAAGGTACTCTTGGTAAAACTCGATACTGTGTACCGTTTTCGGAATATTTTGATTTGAAAATTATGAAATAATAATTGATTCTGGTATAAAATAGTTAGTAATTAAACAAAACTCACAAGAAGAAAATTAAATTAGTGACTAAGAACATAAAATAAAATTCAATTACAGTAAATGTTCTAAATGCCCTCCGTTTTCGCGAAAAAATTCAATTACAGTAAATGTTCTAAATGCCCTCCGTTTTCGCGAATATACAAGTCTATTCATTGTTCTAAAGATTCCATTAACCTTCTAAACGGTAGGGGATCAGCTATGATGTCATTAAATTGACGTTGAATTCTTTCTTCCAATTCTTGGCGTGAATTTACCTCTGTAGCATAGACTTTTTCCTTAATATACGACCAAACTGCGTAGTCCAAAGGGTTAAAATCGCATGACCGAGGAGGCCAATGAATCGGAGCTTCTGCACCTCTACCAATCCATCGATTCGGAAAATGATTACTCAACCAATTACGACACCTTCTATCAAAGTGTGGTGGAGCTCCATCGTGCATAAAAAATAAAGATCTTCGCTCGTTTAGCGTTAAATCTTTTAATATCTCGAATAAGAAATTGTTTAAAAAATCAAGATACATATCACCATTTAAATTTCAAGGTAGAATATGATAACCCATTAATTTGTTACCTAAAGTTGCTGCCCAAACATTAACTTTAAATTAGTGTTGGTAATGTGATACCCTGTTGACTCGTGGATTCTCATCACACCAGTAGTGTGCATTTTGGGAGTTAAACATACCTTGTCGCGTAAAGGTGGCCTCGTCCGTAAAAAGAATGCATTTTAAAAAAATTTGATTGTGGGCTGTTCCTTTGTTGCAATGTTTCACAAAAATCCACTCTAACCGGTAGATCATCTGGCAAGAGCTCTTGGACTTGTGTGTAATGATAAGGATGTAATTGCTGTTCTTTCAGTATCCGCCAAGTACTTGAAGAAAAAGTATTTGGTTGTCTTGCTATATTCCTTACGCTAACTGTTGGATCTTGATCAAGTAAAGTTAAAATATTATTTTCTTTATTAATTGTTGTTGTTGTTCTTGGTCTACCAGAATTAATTTGATTTGGTCTCACATTCCCAGTTTCTCGACAACGTCGTTCAACGGCTCTAAATGTTTTTTTACTTGGTAAGTTTCTTCTAGGAAACTTTTCTGCATAATGTGTCACAGCTGCACTAGAACATCCTAAACATTCACCTAAGGTTAATAACATGTCAGTGTATTCAACATTTGAGTACATTTTGATTTAATTTTACAAATAACAAGATTTCAAAACTCTAATTATTGTTGATTTATCGTCGTAACAATCAATAAATGTCAGATTTCCATGGCACACTTGGAGAAAATAGAGGTATACCTATTAGAACTTTATCATTATTACCAGCATCAATTATTACATCAGAATTTTCAAATCAAAATATTCCGAAAAAGGTACACAGTATCGACTTTTACCAAGAGTACCTTTTTCGTGTAAAATTGAATGATGTTTAAGTTTACTTGAAATTTTGATTAATAATTATACTCTTAAAAAAGTTATATTGACTAATCTTTAGTACGATCCGTGTAACTAGCGCCTTCTATGAGAATCAGATATAAAAACAAATTCATGGGATGTATCAGCTTCCAAAACATATTCGTATAAAATTTCATTAGAATGTTGCCAGTAGTTTCGGCAAAATCGTAAAAAATGCGTAAATTTGTTTTTTCTTAAACGACCTGTATCTTGAAACCGGATGGCGTTACAAAAATTTTTTACTAAGCAAACCCCAATTATTTTTCAGTTTTTTACCTACCCTAGAGACGGGATTACCTTTTTTTGAAACACCCTGTATAAAAAGTTGGAAAATTGACATTTTCAAATTAGCTTTACAAAGGTATCAACTGTCCAGATTTTATTATTTTTCAATATCTTCATTTGTCTAATTTGTAAAAATCAAATTGTAAATATTGTCCCTAGGTACAACATGTTCCCCTACTAATAAGAAAAATCGATAAATCCACACTACAAACTTAGCAGCACTTAAGTGCTGCGAAAATCCTCGACTGTCAGTCATTCTTAGATTATTTTTAATCATATATCCTGGCGAAACTTTGTACGGACATCTTCAAATTGTCGATTTTTTCATTGGTTATGTTGGTAGTTGTATTTTACTACATATTTATGTTAAAAATTCCTTACCTGTGTCATTTTATCCATCTTCCCTTCCCAACTAAGCCTTTCGTCGTACAACGGATCCGCGTGAGTACCTATGAAGATAGGTTCCCAATGGACGAACTTCCCATTCCTTTTGCCCACGTGGAAAACGTGCAGTCCTTGGGTCTCGTTCGCCGATTGCCATTCCTTGGCTTTCGGCACCGTATGGCATCCGGGACACAGCTTTTTGTGGAAGGGTATGGCAGTACCGTTGGCCAGCATCTCGCGCAGCTGAGTCTTGTTCTCCGGTACTTGCTGGTTGGCACTCACTTCGAAAATAGTCAGAGGGTATACCTAAATAGAAAACATGGGCAATAAGTGTCGATAGAAAACATTTTTAGAACCACTTACTTTAGAGTTTTTGTTCTGAAGTGGACCACTGTTTTCGGCAATCATAGCTAGGAACTTCTCTATCACACTTGGACTAGGATACAGTTCAATATCCGAGGGAAGGATGAAGTGAGTCTGCGCAGTTTCTCGAGCGACGTTTCGACCCACATTCACCGGATACAACAACTTTTTCTGAGCTTTGTACATATTTTCGCTGGAAACGTTGAGGAAGGGTGGTACCACCGAGCAGTTGTACGTTTCAATGAACACGTTGTCGTGTTTAGGAACCTAAACGATAAATTTACTGTTATAAAATAAATTTTTGTTTGGACTGGAGTCTTACCTCTTTGGGAACATGTTTCGTACTAAAATAAATATGGAAGGTCACCAACTGCTTAACCATGGGCGTGGTGCAATCCCTAAGGTACCCTATGGAGTCGAGAGTATTTTCAAAATCAGTTCCTGGAGCGTGAAGAGCTATACTTATAGGTCCGTTCCACCGCTCCAACAATGGCACTAAGTTGTCCATGAAGGAATAATCCGCGTGGGTTGTGTACGTGATGCTTTCGTGACATCTGAAAGAATAATATAAAATAATATAATATGATTCCAGTTGTACAATGTTTAATTATGTTCAATATTAGTAATTGTCCATTTATAGTACGTATTTCCTTTTAAATTTCTTTAAAACAGACTAAAATTTATCATTGTAATTTTATTTCTTTGCTGTTTCATATCTGTAAAATTAGAAGTTCTATCTGAAATGATTGTTACATATTACGTAATGATAAACCACGCCAAATGCTACTAATTACGTCATACTACACGTATAGTGTTATCAATCGTGTAAAATTATATATAAAATGTTATAAATGATATTAAATTGTATATAAAACGCTATGAAACACGTAGAAAGTCACTAAATCAACATAACAACGTCAATTGTCAACTAAAATGTCACGACATACATCAAAATCACGATATATGTCACCAATTACGCCACGCGACACGTAAAATGTCACGACTCACGTCAAATATCGTATAAAATGTAGCCAATCACTTCAGATGTCACCAGTTATGTCTAATATGTTAAAAAATCAGCAAATTGTTTATAAAACGTTACAAAACTTGTAAGAAGTCGGAAAATTACCCTATCGATGTCACATATCACATAAAATATTATTACTTATATTAAAATCGACAAAAAATTAATAATTAGGTAAAATCTAACTAAGACGTCGTGTACAGTGTTACCAATTACTAAAATTTCGTATAAAATCGTACCAACCACTTCAGAAATCACCAATTACGTCGAGTTACGTCATATTTAGTATTAAATGCTGCTTATCACTTCATGCGTCATAATTTACGTCCAGTTCAATATAATGGGCCCGAAGTCTCGCCTCGATTAACCCCACTTCGAGACTTTATCCGAAAAACTTCAGTCGAGAGTGTAGGCGGCTTTTAAAACGTTACTAATCTTGTAAAAGGCAGCAAATTGACGTATCGGTGTCATATACCTATCACATAAAATATTACCATTTACATTAAAATTAACATAGAAAATATCAATCATGTCAAATGATGTCAAATATCGCCAATCACGTCAAATTTATTATAAAATTCTTCAAATCACGTCACGTGTCACCAATTACGTCAAACGTCACAAACACTCACCAATCATATCAAATTTCATAAAAAAACGTTAGCAAACTTGTAAAATGCCAGCTATTTATCACTTAAAATGTCGTCACACACGTTCTCTTTGTCAACCATTTTCCATACACTTCTGAATGTACGTCTCCCAATTGCTTCCATCTTTCTCTATCTTGCGCCAATCTAATCCACTGTTTGCCTGCCATTGCTCTTATGTCATCTACCCATCTCTTTTGAGGTCTTCCCATACTTCTTGTTGTCGTCCTTGGTCTCCATTCTAGAATTCTCCGTGTCCACCTGTTGCGTGAGTGCTCCTTTGGATGGTCCTATCAGGGAAAATTAATCAATCCCTGCTCTCCACAGATTTAAGGGGTTTCCTGACCAGGAAAACTAGTACCTGCTTAAGGTCTTTTATCCAAGGTCACGGATGAAGTAAAGAATACCTTCGGTACGGCGTGGATGGCGGAAATGGAAATCCCCTAATTTTAGGGATTGTATAGAATCACTCGCCAACCCGCTCGGCAAGAGTGGCGTTTTAAATATGTTTAAACTTCTCAAGTTGAAGATATAGAGTATCAATACGAAATTACCCCAGGTGAGTAGAGTTATACATTCAGAATCTCACACTGAGCAATCAGCCAGCCTCATGGATTCTGAGGAAGCAAATATTCGACTGAATCTAATAAGAAAAACTACTCACACACGTTAGAATTTACAAAAAAGCATTATTAACGTTATGTGTTAGAAATTACGCCAAACATCACGTACAATGTGACGAATCACGTTAAATTGGGTACAAAATGTTGTCAATCACGACATATGTCGCTGATTACGAAGAAGGCAATGAAAAATGTTGCCAACAATATTAAATTTTATTTAAAACGTGTTCAAATATGTAAAAAGTCACCAAATGCGTAAAATACCACGTGCATTGTCACAAATAATATTAAATTACACATAAAAGTGTCTCAATCACACTCTAATTTTAATAAATACTCTTCTAGAAAATGTTTACGAAAAAATGACCTGTTTAAACTATTCTAATATCATAGTTACCTGTGATTGACTTCAGCCGGGATGTAATTATAAAGTACCCAATAGTCGCCTCGTTGTTGTATCTTTGGCACCAGAGGTTTGTCTACGCAATTAGTGACTTCCCGTACTCTATCTAACACAGTAGGAACAGCTTTAGAAGAAGGCGGAGCTTCTTCCGGTTCAGTTTTGTCTGGAACTTGTTCTGATTCCAGTAAGTCTTTGGCCGCCACTACTTCCTTGGCGCTGTCTTCGTCAAGGACGGCGGGTACTTCCAGATTGTCAGTACCGAGAGCAGCTAGGTTCCTGCCTGACTCCTGCATCTCCCTGATGACCGGTACCGCCGTGTTGGTGAACACGTGGATGAACAAGTATAGGGCGCAGCTGCCCACCAGTAGCTTGATGATGAACGATTTCCGGTTGGTATACATTTTGGAGAGGTCTACAAATTCATAAAAAAAGCGAATTTAATATACTAGAACAAATAAGTCATTCCAATTATCTAAGGGGCTGCACATGTTTCGAGAATGACAGAGACACTCATCACAGTTTGACAGGATTTAGTTAATATGCGGAGTAGTTTACCGAACATTGTAACTCCTCAGAACAACTATATAGAAGCTGTACATAGAAGCACTATACTGAATTCAAATATTAAAGGTATGTGTTATTACAAGGTCATAGCTCTTGTCAAAATCCATTAGCTATAACTGTCTTTTCATTTATTCACGTTTTGAGTTCAAGAAATCAATTCACGAAAGATTCTTGTCTAAAGGCAAATCAAAAACATTTTCTTCGAGAACGATTACCTAAAAAGTGAATTACAGGATACTGCGGCCGCATTTAGAGATGAGAACGACAAGTACAAAATTGAAACAATTGCGGAAAAATATGGCGTTAAGATTTTGAGACTGCCGTCTTAACATTGCGAGCTTAACCCGATTAAAATGGTATAGAGTCAAGTGAAAAGGTACGTGGCTTCAAACAACGTCGATTTTAAAGAAAAACGGTAGAACGGTTGATTGACATTCTCAGCAAAATTCGATTGTTCGTATAATTTTTATAGGTTCAGTAACAGCTGGAATATTACCATTAAAAACATAAGTATTTATGTTATTTTTTACTTATTTCCCTGACAATAATAAACCAAAAATTGTCAAGTTTCTGCTGAAGAGTTAATCCATCATTCGATCACTCACTATTCGATCATTTAATTGTTGCACAATCATCTGTTTTATTGACAAAATTATAAGAAATAAGTGGAAGAGAAAAACAAATGGTTACCGATAGTAGAATCTTCAATCAACAAGATCTTATCCGCGATGGGATATGTCGAAAGATCTCTAAACAATTGTTCATCCGGATGAAAATGGAATAGAAACGCTTGTTTAAGCTTAAATTTAATTAACGAGTTTCTAGTAATTACCGAACGAAAGTAAGTGAGCCTTGATAATTATAAAAAATATTCAGTTAACTAGGTACATCGGTATTGTTGTATTATTAACAATTATTGTTGTTACTTTCTCAAGAATATGTAGACGGAATTGTTAGAAAATACCACAATGGGGTTAGAATGTGCAGAAGTTTTACAGTGGCGAAGAAAACATTTAAGTCATTTTGATATTGTTTTGTCAGAAAAAGATACATTCTACCAACAAGCGAAAGAGTTACTCTCATATACTCCAAAGAGTTTGAACATCGACGACGATGATGATACTTAAATACATTTAGAAAACGAAGAATACATTGGAGATGATGAAAAAATAATATGTAAAACTAGTTCGTTCCCCACCCTCGTCTCTTTTGGACGGTTATTGTTATAATAGTGAAATTTGGAGGGATGTAATATAAGACTTACTCCCGATCAATTTAATTTAACTATCCAGACTGTCTGGATTTTTAGTATTTATTTTAGTATTTATTTAATAAATTTTAGTATTTATTTAATTTATTCGTCAAAATCATCTTAAATCCAAACAAAATTAGTATGATTGAATAGGTATATTAATATAATTATAGTTTCGCATTTAATTAATAAATATTCTAACATTCATCATTATCATTGGTGCCTACTTCTACTTCCCACAGGTGACATAAGGATTCTTCTAAGAGGGTGGTTCTGCTTTGATCTTGCCAGATGTCCTGCCCATCTTAGTCTTCCTATTTTTATAAGAACTTTTTTACCACCAAATATATGTTTATATCTGTGATATATCTCGCGGTTGTACCACCTTCTTCAAACACCGTTTTCACGGATGCCACCAAATATTCTTCTCAGGATCCTTAGTTCAAGTATAAGTAGGAGGTTTTCATCTACCTTGGAAATGGTCCATGTCTCCGATCCATATGTCAACACTGGTTGTATAAGGATTTTGTATATGGTTATTTGTGTTTTTAGGCTTAAGTTTCTGCTTTTCATGTCTAGATGAGCCTAAGAGCTCTAGAGCCTAAGTATGTGAATTTGTCCACCACTTCAAAGGTAGAGTTCTTAACCGTGATTTGATTTTGATTGACATTGATTGGTGGCCGATGTTTCTGGCTCTATTGTAGGTTGTTGATGCCATTATCTACGTTTTCTTCTCATTTACTTGCAGGCCCATATGTTTAAGGCATTTGACAAGGTGGTATACATTTCTTCTAGCTTGCGTGTTGTGCGGGCAACTAGGTCAACATCATCTGCATGTGCCAAAATTTGGGATGATTCATTATCATCATTTATGGGGACAGTCTCGTGCGAAACTTTCAAAAAATCAATTTTTTTTATAAATCGCTTCCATATACATTCAAAAACTCCCTCCTAAAATTTTAAAAAGAAATTCCCACTAGAATATAAGTTATAGTTATTTTATTAACGTTATCTACGCACGTATGAAAACCGGTTTCTCTCCGCGCGGCAAGCGCGAGGCTCCAGCTGTTCTTGCTTTTGTATATATGTTGTATATACGTTGAGTATGTATTAGTGATTAATTTTTATATAGTATGTATATCTGTATAACGTTTGGCGTTTACTATACACATTTGGATTTGGAATTTTAAATCCGGAACACAGGATTTTTTTACAAATACTAAGATTCTCTGCGTTGCAATTAACCAGTGTAAATTTATTTATTCCACTGGATTACTTCTCCTTAGCGGTTTATAGTAGCGTATATGGCACGCCGATAGTAGCGTATATGGCACGCCGACAGTGTTGCTCCGTCTACCGATTTTTCCTGAAAGTCCGGTTTTGTGCAGATAATAAATAATATTTTATTAACATCAATTTTGTTTGTGTTCATTAGGTATTATTTGAGTTATAAAATTTATACTTAAATACATTTATTATTCCAAATATAGTTTATAATTTCAAATTAAAAAGAGTGTAATATAATTATTTTATTTTTAAAATTCCTTTTTATTTTTTATTTTGGAAATACAACTTTTTTTCAAGCCGTTTTGGCAATAAAACATAACCTTTTTTTAGTTATAAAATATTTTCATATCTACATTTATAAATAAGTACGTTTTCGTTGAATTGACATGCGATCTAGGTGTGTTCCGTTTTTACACTTATACTGGCAGCATCGCGGCGTGAATTGACACTCCAGTCGAACATGAACAAATGAATTAATTATAAAACATCGCGACGTTGTATTGAAATTTACAGCTTTACAAAGCCATTTACAACAACTGTTGGATGAAGAGGGTCCTCAATATTCACCAGGAATGGCCGATTAAACGTGAGTATAAAGTTATCAGCCTTTTATTCACGAAAATTATGTAAAAAAAACTTTAAATGCTTTTTTCTCAAAAGTAACATTTTCAAACTAGTCAGACACTTTTCTCCGAACCTTCTTAACCGATTTTAAAAAACCAAAAATTTTTCGAATGTACATACAAAATACTAGATGATAAACCTTTAAAATATTTAAAAACCACCCCCCCTTTTATTATATATGGGTAAATCCACCGAAAATATAGCGATTTTTCGACTTTTTTGAAAAAATTCGTATAAACTCTTCAAAATAATATAATTTGCATATTTTAAAGGTTTATCATCTAGTTTTGAGTCTCACGAATACAACCTATTTTGAATTTTTTGAATATCTGTTACAGGTGACCCACAAAGTGTCTTACCACCAAAAACGCACTTTTTACTACACGCCATCTACAGGACACCAATGAAGTTAAAATCGCTATTAAAATTTTTTTTATGTACTTCAAGACTTACTTAATCATCTCCAAAAGGAATTGTGTTAATAAATATTATAGTTTTTTTTTCTGTTTTAATTTTAAAATGTGTCTTTTTTTTGAATCGCATGAGACTGTCCCTTATTGGGATATTCTAACGTTCGCCTCTGGTTAATTGTCAAAAAATCGAGAAGAGAATTGAAAAACGTCAACGTTTTGACAAGTAATGAGAGGCGGAGATTTTAATATTTATTAATTAATTGCGCAACTACAATTTTAGTATTTATTTAATTTATTCATCAAAATGAGCTTAAACTCAAATAAAATTAGTTTGGTTGAATAGGTATTTTCATTACCTTTCCAAAGAGGTATCACTTGCGTTAGGCCCTATTTAAAATTATCTTTCAGGGTGGCGCTGTAACGTCATCTGTCACTATTACATCACTTGTTATGACTAGTTAAGAAGCCTATATCTGTTTATTATCTTGCTCCAAATTTCACTATTATAGCAGTAACCGTTCAAAAGATACGAGGGGTAAACATACTTTTGACCTGCACTGTATATAAACTTACTGAGCTACTTTTTTCTTCCTGGTGGCCTTGATCGGAAATGGTTGGTAGGTTTTAAAAAGCCCATTGAGTTGGCCGTATGCCCTTCATGAAGAAGTCTCTATCTTCTTACGAAGTTATCGCTGTCATAATTTCCTTCTCCTGTAACAAAAAGTACAAATTAATATTGAGAACAAAAATTTGGATTAAAACTGTTTAAATATCACAATTAAAAACGTTTACATTAGTCCAAAATAATGAAGAGCCACTACTATTTACTCCAAGCTCGATAAGATTCTTCCTTATACCAATATGAATAACTTTTTAATCAAATGCTATGATACAGACGGATTATTGGCACCAAATATAAGCAACTTACACTACATTAACCAATTTTATGCTGACTTAAATCATACAATGCATAAATGCTGAAAACTAATGATGTTTTCACTTCAAAAATCATTCAAATAATTATTATATTTGCAGCTCACGATCATTGCGTCGTAGGAAACAGTCTGGATAACAATAAAGTTAATTGTGTATTCAGTTTGTAAACTAAAAAAATTAAATGTTCAAATAAAACTCGTCAAACAAATCATCATGCAGTTTAACATCTTTTTTACAGTCTGTGAAATCCCAAAATGACCTTAAGTACTAAACGATTTGATGTGTTTTATTTAAATGTAATTATTGTGATATTTGCACAGATTGT